TATATATATATATATACACACTCTTGAATGATTGAAGGTCTTGAATGATTGAAGGGAATGCAATAATTGCACACTAATGGAGGCGGAGGTAGACATTGAATACTCTGCCAAGGATATAATATAGACGCATCCAGGCAAATGGTCCTGTCTGACAGTTGTTTTTATTTTCAAATGGATGAAAAACAAGGGGAAAAACAATACTTGTATTCTGTAATAACAAAGGCACACAGCACTGTGCAGGGAAAAAAAAAAAAAAAATGTGACGAGAATTTCTCTAAAAATAAAAAAGTCAATATTTTGAAATCTTAATTTCAACCAAATTTCCTTTCTTTTCTTTTTTCTTTTGTCATTTTTTAGTTTGAAATTAATGCAAAAAAAATTAATTACCAAACACATTTATGTTTGGAATAATAAAACAAAGGACAAACTACAATCACATTCCCTAATTGCAACTAAAATTTGTCATTTTGTTACAATGTGTACCCCCTTAAGGTTTACCCAATTTTGCAAAGACTTCCTCTTCGTACAAAAAGTATTTTTTGTCTAAAATTTAGTTAGAAGTGATCAAAATGCCCATTGTATTATTAAATAACAAAAAAAAAAAATACAATAATAGACTAGTCTTTCTCTCTCTAACTCCCCCACCAGTGGACCATCATCTTTCTCTCTCTAACTCACCGACTTCTCTCGACCAGAGGTTGAAGTTTGTTACGAATTGGTTCCAATTTTTATACATTAAAGAACTTTAGTTGTAAATTAAGTACACATGTTCACACTCAATATTCACAATTACCTTCAATTCACCAGTAAGCCCTATCCGTAATCAACAATATGCTTTTTAATTATTTTATCATTGTATAACTAGGATTCCGTGGGGTTGGGTTATTTTGTTGCCATCATCTTTCTCTCTCTAACTCACCCACCTTACTCGATCAGAGGTTGAAGTTTACAGTAACACCTGTTACGAATTGGTTCCAATTTTTATACATTAAAGAACTTTAGTTGTAATTTAAGTACACATGTTCACACTCAATATTCACAATTACCTTCAATTCACCAGCAAGCCCTATCCGTAATCAACAATATGCTTTTTAATTATTTTATCATTGTATAACTAGGATTCCATGGGGTTGGGTTATTTTGTTGCCATCATCTTTCTCTCTCTAGCTCACCCACCTCTCTCGACCAGAGGTTGAAGTTTACAGTAACACCTGTTACGAATTGGTTCCAATTTTTACACATTGAAGAACTCTAATTGTAAATTAAGTACACATGTTCACACTCAGATATTCACAATTACCTTCAATTCACCAGCAAGCTCTATCCGTAATCAACAATATGATTTTTAATTATTCTATCATTGTATTACTATGATTCCATGGGGTTGGGCTATTTTGTTGCCATCTTGCAATGGAGGAAGCATGTGGAAGGGAAATATGGCTAGGTGGTGGATCTATTTGGTTCATTGATGGTGGGTTAGACATGTATACATATATATACACACACACTCCGTATGTGTGTATTTATATAGTCATATATATATATACCCGTATGTGTGTTTATATATATATATATATATATATAATAGGGAATTTTACATAAAACTGGTAGTAGTAAAAATATTTTACTATACAAAGTAGTATATATTTTATACTATATCATGAACCACAAGTGAAACTTTCTATTTGAACCTCTTTATTAAGTTTAAATTATATTTTCATCCTTAAAATTTATTTTATGCACAATTTAACTAAAGAAGAACTTATAAAAATTCTAGAATTCTTGCAAACAGCGCTCAGAAACTATTACACTTCTCTAGAATCCGGTAATGGAACACTTAGCCTTCAACGAAGAATAGAACTTATAATTATAAATAATGTAATACATCTATTAAAGAAGGTGTTTTTACAGAGCGTTATCATAGCATTATTAGGTTCGACAGTCATTTCTGTGATTTAATTATTAAATTTATCTCTATGTTATTCCATGTTTCTATCTTGGCGGCATTCGATTTAATTTTGGTATCAGAGTTTATACCGTTTCGTTAAATTTAATTTATATATAAGATTTTTTGTCTAAAGAAATCTATAAGTCTATAAGTCTATATTAATATACAGTGAAATTTTAATTTATTGTGAAAAACTTTAAAAATATTTTAAAAATATTAAATAGTTTGTTCAAAAATTTTTTCTTAAGCTTATTTTATGTTCTAAGGTTGTTATGTTATAATAATTTATAGTTTAGGTCATTATAGTAATATTGATTATTGTATGATTCAGAGTAGAATTTAAGTTCATTTTATAGAAATAGTTCATGTGGTCCCTCCATCTTTAAGAAAAAGTTTGTATGGTCCTCCAATTTTTTAAGTCTAGCCAAAATTTGACCTCATTATATTGTAGTATTTGGGCTTTAAGGTCGTGTATTAGTAAAAATCCATATATATTATGGGTTGGAATTTCAGAGTTTGTTGTAGGGCGTATCTATGATATTGATCTTAGCTTGATCCATGATCTTGATCTCCGACCCACACTACCAGTGAGATCCTTGGCCATTTGGGTGAATGTGTTTACCTTCGATTTTATATTTTTTCTTAGGTTTGATTCAAATGATTTTGCAGAGGCCAAAACCAACCTAAACTCCTAATAATCGATAGCACCACCACAATCGGTGGTGGTGGGGGCGTTTCTAATGGTGGTAGACTGGCAGTGAATACAGCCATATTTTAGTGGCGGTAGTAGAGGTTTTGACGTCTGTGAGTTGTATGTGGAGATCAAGATCCCGTAGTTCACACCGAAGTAGTCGGTTTCGTTGGAACCAGAATCTGGCGTCGAAAAGGGAGTCCAGACGGTCGAATACGCAGTAGGCGATGAATTCCAGCCAGGGGCTCCCTTTCCGACGCCGGAAATCAGCATCATGGCGTCCTTGCCGCCAGACCAGAATCATCGCGTCCTTGCCGCCAGACCAGAATCATCGCGTCCTTGCCGCCAGACCAGAATCATCGCCGTCGCCATGTCGAGATCAACCTCGACGTTAACCCAAAACCTCGGCACCTTCTTTGTTGCAGACCCAGCCACCATCGCCGCAATGGTCTCATCTGTTATAATGGTGAATATTCGTGGGCAAAATGGTCATTTTCTATTTTTAGAATATTTTGTTTATTTTTTCACTATATAATAAGGAGGATAGATAAGTAAATTTAAAGCAAAATTCGATATAGGGGTCTCTGCAAAAAAAAAAAAAAAAAAAAAAAAAAAAAAAAAAAAAAAGAGACAAATCTCAAGTTTAATTACAATTAAGCCAAATCTCACGAGAAATCATTATAATTTGTCCTAAAACAAAATAACAAAACATTGTTTCGTCTCCAAAATAATTGTCAAACAGCCCGAAATAAGAATAACTCACACCCATTTTTTTAGAATAAATAAAAGATGAGATGATAATGATAGATACTAATCAAGGTCTTGGGCATTCCAGGTTTTAGAAAGATATATAAAAAGTAAGGCGGGGTTTCTAATATTTTCTTAATTGTATACGTAGCTTTCATGGATGTAAATGGAAAGAAAGCCTACTAATCAATGGGTTTTAGCTAGAAAGATATATGACATGTAAATATGGATGTTTTCAAATTACGATTGACACTTTTTATCTTCAAATTATTTTAATAAATTTTCTTTTTCAGAAAAAAAAAACTATATATATTTACTACTCTTCAATTTATTGAAAGGGATGGAATTATTCATTCATTCATTTTGGAGATCATGTGGGATCGAGGTAGCTATTAAATACTCGGGGAGGGATATCTATAGAACCACCCAACCAAATAACTAAGAGGAGCTAGTTTGGGAATTGTCTTTGTTGGTAAGTTGGTATTAATATAAAATAATAATAATAATAATAATAATAATAATAAAATATATATGAAAGCAAAAAGCAACAAGATTTCGTCCTCACTTGTTTTTGCATTTGTAGCTGAACAAATACTATTTTGTGTTCATACGAAATTGAAAATGCAAACACCACTTGACTGTGTTAACCGTTATTGATCATCTCACATGATATACGCTCCCAAATTGACTTGCTTTGGGCTTGTTTAATTTGGTTTGGGCTTATTTTGTAACTAGGCTTCTTAATTGCCTCTTTTGGGCTATCAGTCACTACCAATAGAGCTGGGCTGGTCCTTCTGTTATTAGGCCTACTTATACCGTGCATAAAAAAATGAGAGTAATTTGTAAACCCAAAACAAAATTGATTATCAAGCAGGCCTGAAACATTTTGTGGTGACAAATATAATGAAAGTCAACATGCTCTTCCTAAAGAACCATCGGTCCCCTTCAAAATAAATGGTGTGTCAAATAAACCAATTCACCTATGTATTATTTTTGTCCATAAAATTAAATTTTTTTTATTTTTTTTAAAAAAAAAGACACTCTGGGTTTCACAACAACAAAACCAATACCACTTGGGATTATAATTTATTGGGCTTGGAATTCAAGACACTCATAATCAATAAGTCCTCTTGCTTGCTTTTGAGGCAAACTATGTGTGTTTTGTTGGTAACTTCACTCCATGTTTTTTCTCTCTCTAAAATGGGGACTCCAACGTGGCACGGTTAGTAGGACGCTAGTACTTAGGGATCCTTGGAAAAATACGCCACATATGCCGCGATACGTCCACGCTTATTTGATTCCTCGTGTGATTGATTAGCATATTAAATTGAAAATTGTAATAGTCCCACTGAACTTTTATATATCTACAAATCACTCCTGTTACTATTAATTTTGATACAGGTTTTGTTATGAACATTATACCTTTTTATTTATTACACGTTTAATTATTCTTTTTCAGTTTACAAGTTTTTTTTTTTTTTTTTTCAACAACGCTTACCTGTCGGGCATCTATAATTCATTGAACACCTTATATATATATAGCACAAGGCCACACACATATAGCGGTGAGCAATAAAAAAAAGTAACATTTTTAGAGAGAGAAAGTGGAGAGGAATGGCGACGGGAGGTGGAGACGGCCTATATCGGGGTGGATACGAAGGATGCATTTCGGGGTCGGATATGGGGATACAGAGGCGGCCCTACCATAAAAATTGTAGCTGTGCGCTCCACAAATCACGTGGCCATTGTTCCCATACTAGTGCATCAAACTTATCGTATCCCATCAGACGGTCGTGGAGCGACGGTTGTCTAGCCTTGAATTTGATGGCCTCCTCCGCCCATCCGTCGTCCTGTTCCTCCCCTGTTACCGTCACGGCAGAGGCTGCTAGGAGAGAACTGAAGGTACCTTTGATTAATGAAGAAAAAGAAACAAGAGATCCTTAATCATGTTTCATTTTAAGGTTTGATGTTTTTGTCCTTAATTTGTTTTTCAAACTAGTTGAGATTGTAAAAACGTAAAATTTATGTTTTAAACACGTCTGGTTACATTAACTACTGTGTGCGTGTATGTGATTTTATTGTCTTCATGGGCTACGTACTACAATAATTCTGAAAGAAAAATGATTTCAAGGCCTATGAGTAATAAGTTATAACGGCCTTTAATGGCTTGAATTGGGACCTATATTAATTCTTTTTTTAATTAATTAATTTATTTATTGTTAATTAGTATATGCTTGATAGATTAAGGGGTTCAAATACTTTTTTTTTTTGCACATAACATTAATTTCTTACAACTGATACATTAATTTTTTTGCACATAACATTAATTTAATTACCGAAAAAAAAAAACATTAATTTCTTACAACTGATACATTATTTTGAGAAGCATAAGCATGGTTTTGTCCATGACCATAGAACTCTAGTGAATTTTTGTACTTACAGCAACAATCATGTGACATACAAGGGTTCTTTCATATTTTTATGCATTAGAATAGTTCTCTCTCTCTCTCTCTCTCTCTCTATATATATATATATTATATATTGAACATGGCACACACTTCTCCAAAGCAAAGACAGCTCATGTGGTCGGTGTCGGTTACTTTAATTAGTTCAACGCCCAACGCCATTCTTACTGATCTTTTAATAGAAGAAACAAAAGACTAATCCTTGCTTATTCTGATACGCGGAGTAATAGTTTTTCGTTAGAAAAACAGCCTTAGTGAATAGCTAATAAAAATATTGGGTAAAGTTCAAAAGACTATAAATAATCCTCTTAAACTGTGTTTTGTACATAAAACTCTCTAAATGATTACATTTAGTTACAAAAATGTCCCATTATCTTACATATTTTTCATTAAATGACCATAATATCATTTCTTATTAAATTATACTTTATATATTTTTCTTGTTAAAATAAATTATTAAAAAAATTCATACTAATTTGATAAAATATTTTCCATTAAATTTGTATAAGTTTCCTTTAATCGTTTAAGTTAATTATTTAAACAAAAATCTTAAATAGAAAATTTTGAAAATATTTTAAGTAATTTCTTAATTTTCATGAACATATTGCATTAAAAAGAAGACATTTTCTCTTTACGTAATTTATTAATTTTTCATGAATATTGTTTGAAAAAGAAGATATTTTTTTATATTATTATTATTATTTTTTAAAGTGAGTATAATAATTTTTTTATAATAAGTTAATCATTTTAGAAAATGATAGCTACAAATTTATTTATTTTTCTATTTTTATAATCAATTAATACTAATTCTAAAATTAATATAAATGGTATAATTAATATTTAAATAAAAGAAAATATAATAAAAAATAATTTAATAAGAAATGACAAATTTAATAACAAAGGATGAAATAGTCTTTTGTGATGAGTTTGTCTTTCATTGCAACAAATCAATAATTTAGAAGACAATCTTTAGTTCAGGTGGATTAATTACAAAAAACCAATAATTTAGGGTGTTTTTTACACTTTACCCTAATATATATATATATATATTTTCGCCCAGTCCAAGAGAGAAGAAAAGTTAATACTGGAAAATGTCATATTGTATTTGGTATAAACTTTTAAAGGAAAATAAAAATAATAGAAGGATTTGGAGGATGCAAATTACGCCAGTATATTATTATATACAAGTATGTTGCAAATATAAAATACAAAATCAAAGTACCATATTAGTCCTAGGAATGTTTTTATTATCTTTAACTTTTTTTTAATCTTTTAAATGGCCACTAGGACTGTATTGATGTTCCCACAATTTTATATTTGTCTTACCACTTCTTATTTATATATTTATCCTTTAAATCTAAAATATAATATTGTAAATTTATTGAATATAATTTTCCTTTATATTTTTCTCCAAACACAATTAAGTGACGAAAATTGTATTTACAGTGGGGCTTCTGGGCCAATCTTGTAATTGGTGCAGTTATTGTTCATGTTGGGCCACCTGTGTAGCAGCCTAAACCTCTCATATAAAGGGTTTTTTTTTTTTTTTTTTTTTTTTTTTTTTTTTTTTTTTGTCATTGCCAAGAAAAACAAACACCACTCACACGCCTCTCACCATCCATGTAAAGTTTAGTCTCTCTCTATATATACAACATATATGAATATTTATACTTTTTGAGAAAGAAAGAAAAATAAAAAAACATATAGCAACACCAAACAAAGCAAACATTTTCATTGGGTACTTTCTGTTTTTATTTAATTTTTTAATTTTTTTTTCGAAGGATTATTTAGTATTGCTTTATTATTTCTTTAGAACAGAAAATTATTAAGAAGAAAAAAAGCACTACCGTCGGCAAATGAGTTCCAATAACGGACATATCGACGCAATCAGATGACACCATCACTTCGGAATTACAGAATCGTCAAAACATAAAAATTCTAAATGACCTACCTCGATATTTGATACTCCGAATATTGATATAAATAACAATAATTAATTACGTATAGTATATCGAAAAAAAGGAGGAGGTTACACCTTACCGCCCTATAAATCACCGCAAGGCAGCGACACGTGCCAAGTCATGGGCTTATTGTTTTGAAGATCTATGCCCCTCTTATTTTGGTTTAGGTCAACAGTACTAGCCTTTTTGTGTTATGGGCCTTGTGCCTCGGTTTAGCTGGAAGACAGAGAGTGAGAGAACCACATACTCCAATTATGTGTTTCTTTCAATTTATTCACATCCAGTCACAATTATTAGTACCATTATGACGTACCAAAAAATTTACCAATTAAAAGCAAAATAAAAGTTGAACAAGATGGTATTTCTAGGCCTTTAAAGTCGTATTGAAAAAAAAAAAAAATGTGCTACATACAATAGTTCCCGAACTACTGGTTTGGGACTTGGGTCCAATATTTTTGTAGAGGCATGTAAGATTTTTATGTTGGAAGTTGCAATACGTCCTTAGTGAAACTCTAACATTTGTGCCGAACATAGTTCAAAACATTGTGGTTAACTCATCCGGTGGATCGATCTCTTTACTTTGTTACGCACAACTAAGTCAAATGACGGTAATGTGATTGCAAATCTGGGTGAGTGGATCCAGATTCATCATCAGATGGCCCAGGATAAATAATCTAAAGCCCATTTGTTAAACCTACCACGCAAAGCAGTACAAGGCCCAGTTGATAAATTGCAATAATGGAGGAAACTAGAGGAAAGGGACAGTTGATCCAATTATTTACGAGCTCTTACAATATTTCATCGTTTTGTGTTTGGATGGAAGGAAAAGGACTCTTTGATGTTTGGAATCGTTCAAAGATCACGGGACAACAATTTCTACCATTTAAACAATGCAAAAGTTACATAGAAGAACTACAAGATACATTATGTGTGAATACCTAGTGGGCCACAAAACTTGAACAAAATGACACACTTAAACCTAGATCCTTTATTGCATAGAAATAATCACCCCTTTTTCACATAACGATGAAATGGCACAACAAAGTCTGGTTAGTTAGTCAAAAACATGTTCAACGGCCCTAACTATGCCAAAAATATTCCTCCTACAATGTGACTTACAAAGCTAAGCCGAACCAAACTAAGCCAAGCCACTCTTCCCTCCTAGTCCTAACATAATAGGTTCTATAGGTAGGTAGGAACTGAAAATTTCCTAGGAAAATATGTCTTTCTAAAACCCTTAGCAAGGTATGTAACTAACTTCGGCAAGAACCCTGCCAACTACTCTTGAATTCTACTCCTTAATACTTATTTTCCTCCCTCGAATACTCCACGCCACCAAGTCTACCATACACCAAACGCTCATTTCCTGCTCTATATAAACCCTTCAAAAAACATGCAAAACTTTCAAGACACTCCACTCCACGTACTCACATACATCCTTACAACCCACATCTTAAACACACAGTCGAGAGAGAGAGGGAGGGAGAATGACCACCGGAGCAGCAGAGATGATGTTACGGTGCGTCTTTGAGGGAAGCATATCAATGTATGACATGGATATTGAGCGAAGGCCTTACCATCGCAACTGCAGCTGTGCTCTGCACAAGTCAAAAGTTGCATGCTCGACCTCTTGTCTACAAAGCAGCAGGAACATTTCATTCGCCAAGAAGAAGTCGTGGAATGAATGTTCCATGTCCTTAGCAGCTTCCAAACTCTCTCATCAACCCTCTTTTCCCAGCAACTCCTCAGCAGTTAGGAATAAAGATGAAGAAACTGAGGCTCTGTCAGGTAGATAACACAAATTCAGACATTGTCATATATATATGGTATAGATTCCCATAGAGAGAGAATGAAAAGGTTAGGAATTGAGAAGCTATTTTGTGCAGTTGCTTCCATCTTCAACCTTGTAAATTCTGATGAATTTTACGAAAGTACTTTGTTTTAGTTTCTTTGCCTATGCATTCAACATAAACAAATTTATACTCAATTCCCCTTGTTCCAGATTTTAAAATTTGAGAAGTCTTTTATTTTTCTATCATGTCTACCTTTAAACAATCAATTTTTTTTTTTTTTTGGCTTGTAAAAGTAATTTTAAAAAATAAAAAAATAAAAAAAATCAATAGCTAATACAATCTTTTGATATGATTTGCAGATATACATATGTTCAATAGACATCCACAGACTCATCCTACTATATATGATAAAAATATATATAATAATGCTTTTTTCATTTTTATGATTCTCCGTTTGTTCAAAAAATACTTGTGCTACGGTGCTACCTACTCGACATGCTAGTTGCGCTCTAAATCAGGCAATTGCTTGGAATAGTAATTGTCAAAAAAAAATTTAGAAATATAAGCCTCTTTGAGAAACAGTCAAAAGTATTGCGCAACAAACATACCTTAACCAAAGATAGGACAAGTCTTTGAGTTTTTAATAAGTTATGTGATTATAACAAGAAAGACTAGATAGAAGCATTTAAAATGGCAATAAAAATGACATGAACAAGCTCCTACAACAAATTCTTAAAAGCAATGTAGGAAGAACAGTCTAGCAAAGACATGCATAGTAAATATAAATTTATTAATATTTGTTGCAACAATATATTAATTAATCCTCTTCTTCATCCTTGAATTACTTTTCCTCCTCTTATCAAAACTTTCATATCATCACTTCTATTTTGAAAATTATACCCAAACTATTTAAACCCTGAATATAATTTTTTTTAAAATTAACATTATGTGTTTTTAATATCTTAAAGCACAACAAATGTCAAGAGTAAAATAAGGAAATAAATTTTAGGGCAACCATATTGTGCAGAAAATGTCAAAATCCCATGCTTAGTCCAACCCCACTACAATATTACATGACGAAAAGGTATTTGTATCCAAATATAATTTACACTAATAATAAATACGCAAGAGAAATTTTCATTGGTCGTTTAAAGATCTCAATCATTCTTTTTATTTTTTCCCATTCTCATATTGTTCAAATATCCCATGCATCACCTACTCTACATGCTAGTTGGGACTAAATTTGTCTCATATGTTTAGGAATCAACGTTTAACATACAAACATATAAAATACAGTAACTGGGATTACCAATTTCCAAGGATACTTTGAAGGGTGACCTGGGAATGGAACTAGCCATTAACATAAATATAAAATCTCTAAAGAAGTCATAAAATAGTACTCGATATTAAAAAACAGAGAACTTCATTAAAATATGACACCAAATCTTTTGAGTTATTAACAAGGAAGACAACTATACGACATAAGGATTTTTTATTTATTTTTGATAAGTTACTATATGACAAAAAGAATCAAAGGAAACATTGCGTGTGGCAACAAGTCTCTCTCTCTCTCCAAAGAAAGAGTGAACAAATTGCCTATGTTTTCACTGCAAATATGACAACAAATCTTTGAGTTATTAACAAGATAACTATACAACAAAAGAATCGATGGAAGCATTGAGTGTGGCAACGGCCTCTCTCTGTCACGCACGCCAAAGAAAGAGTGAACAAATTGCCTATGCTGTTCACTGCAAATCCAACTCATATAGTTTCCTTTTGAGTCTTGACCACATACCCAAATATATCTATTTACCAGAATGCTATATTGATGGGGAAAGTTCATCAAATGTCTAAACTTGTCAAAGACATATATGGTCCCAGGACAAAACTGCTCTCTAGATCCAGTTTGCTTATTTCTTCTAGTTATCTTCTCTCTTTTTCTCAATAGAGATGGAGGATTGCTATAGATCCATTCTCACTAACATTGCTGGTTGCACATGCTTACAAGGCTCTCCTATACCAGGGTTGCGTGAATATGCTACAAATCAAAAGAGGGAAAAGAAAAAGAATTTTTTTTTGCTGGCTTCATTAGTGAACCATGTTTACATCTAGTGGCATTACCAGGGAAAAAGGAAAGGGGGGGTGGGGTGAATGTTTCCATAAGATAGAATGGAAAATAAAAGAGAAAAAGATAACTAGTCTGGAAACAAAATGCATATTATTTAGATGATTGTAGTGCCAAAATGCAAATGAACTTAGATGAGTTGACATGACATCATTTGCAATGTTAACCAAAACAGTGTTACAGATATGAACTCCAGAACATTGCTCAAAGCTGCTATAACAGAGATTCTGAGATTACCTGTGTGGGATGTGGGTACAATGGCTCATACTTGCATGTGCACAATTATGTAATGGTGGTGGGTCTAAATCATTACCTGCATGCTGCAGTAAGTAAAATTAGCCTAATTCGTTCTCTCAGATCTCAAGTATTACAACAGTAACAATGAAAGAGCAATGGTCAAAGCAGCCAGCAAATAACTTACTGAATCACCCAATATGAAATAATGATATTATAAATATTATAAGAATCAGAGATCAGCTAGCTGTATGTTGATTCCATGAGTCAAGACAATAATCCTCTCAATGTCTAGATAACTCTTCTAGAAAGTAAAAATGACAAGCAGAAGACATTAGAAACCAATTTAGAAGAAATACGTTTATAATGCATAAGGATAAACAAAAAGTCCAGTTTAAGACATGTTTATAATGTTTTAATAGAATTGCACTTGAACATGGCCTGCAGTCTTCATATGAGATTGCCATACCAGAAACATTTTTTTTATTTGGTGAACATATAACCCTAAAGCAAGAAGAAATAGGTTACACAGCATCAGATACAAAAGAAGCTCTACAGCTTTCTTCAAGGCACTAACCCATATATTTGAGAAAAGGAATGTTATTATAAAAAAATTGCACTGACAACATGAACTAAAAGAATCGAAAATAGAATTATTAATTTAAACATTAAAACATATAATAAATGACTTAAATATCAGCATCAATAAAAATATAGGTTAGCAATAGAAAGATTCTATTCTAACTGCAAAACTGACATTAAAAGTAGCACTAAATAAAGAATGCACTATCCAGTGCTATTTACAATAAAACATATAATGCAGACTTAGATAGCAACATGGAAAAAAAATAAATATAGAAATATAAAGATCTTACTGCACGTTGGACATATAAAAAGGACTAATGAACAGAAAATATGCACTATAGAGAGTCATTTCATAAAACTGCAGCAAATGGAAGAGAAGCAGTTTATCTATGGTGTTGAAAAAAGTTAAACCACAATTTCTAGTGAGAAATTTAAAGGTTTTTGTCTTCTCCAATCTCTCGACTAAGTGTAGCAAATTTGAGGATTATAAAAGCAGATTTTTATTTATTTCTTTCCTTTTTATTTTTATTTTTTTACAATAAGTATCCATGCAACAAGAAAATTTACTTGACAATCAACTATTTTAATTGTTGAAGGATTTAAATATTAAAGTAACACCCGTTCTAACAGCTTAAGCTTTTGGAGTAGATGGCTGTTAACATTAATGAACAGAAAAGGTTGGAAATGTTAGCTCTAAGTTTAGAGTTTGCAATAAACAGAGAAAGGTGCAAGAAATTGAGAAGCACACAAAAAATACACGGCTATTTTCTGGTCTGGCTTAAAGTCAATTTTGATTTATGAAGACGAAAAGGATTTACTATGGAAAATGAAGGTTACAAGATCGCTGCCACACAACTCACAAATTATAGCCTCTCCAACATAAGATCACTGCACAAATAATAGCCCCTCCCCAGCATACCCCCACCACCAACAAACACACACTCACACACAAAAAGCGAGAGAGAGAACTTTTATACTTGGATAAAAAGATACAAGAAATCACACAATTACAACTCATAAAAAGACCCAAACAAAAAAGAAGGGTTATACAAAAAGTAAAATTGGAAAAGGGTAATGTCCTGGGAGGCTGGGACCCCAACCAAGAGCCAGAGGAAGGTAACCAAATCTTTTCAACTGCCCCTAGCTTGTCAATTGTCAACCTTCCAATTTTTATTTTATTATTATTATTTTTTTTAGAAGACCAAATGAACTCAGAATCCAAGACACCACAACAGAAGGCAACAAAAAAGTGGTCAAAATGCCACATACCTATTCATTGAAATTCACTGATTCTCCCGTTCCTCTAATTTCAAAGCAGAAATGAAAGACATAAATACCCAAATCTTTATAACATTACCAATTTCATTTCCAAAAAGCTCTTCTTTGCACTCTCTTCATTTGTGTCAAAAAGACGCGGCTTTTGTAAAAGAAAACGTTACCAAACCAGTAATGCATAATTATACATATTAAAATTTTCAACCACATTCTTCAGCTCATCATATAATACAGTATATAATGTCAACAAGTTAAAAGACTTAAGACGACATAAATTATTCATTCTGTCTGCAGTGAAAGGAATAAATCACCTTGAAGTTTGGAATTAGACAAATGAGCATGGGACAATTATTTGTATCTATATCACCACCATCAAGAAGCAAAAAAAAAAAAGTAGAAATATGGTCCAGGTGGGGGCCATTTACTTGTATGGTAGTGACAATAAAACACAGATTCTTTGTTGCATTGAAATAAACGCCCACTTCCAGAACATTAAAATTGACAAAGATCCACTATAATTACTTAACGACCTCTACAATATTCCTCTGTACAATAACTTACAAAGCTGAGCCAACCCAGCCAAAGCCAAGCCATCTCTCTCTCTCTCTCTCTCTCTCTCTCTCAACATAATAAGTTTCACAGGAAAAACACTGATACTTTCCTAGGAAAAAACGTCTTTCTTAAACCCTTAGCAAGGTAAACTACATCGGGATGAACCCTACCAAACTACTCTCGAATTCAACTCCTCACAAAAATATTCTCCCTTGAATCCTCCTACACTACCATCTATCAAATAATCATTCCTGCTCTATTTAAACAGTTCAAAAATATGCAGAAGTTTTAAAACACTTCAATTCACTCAACACACCGACACCCACCCACCCACATTCCACACACACTACAGACTCGGGAAAGAGAGAGAGAGAATGGCCACTGCAGCAGCAGAGATGATGTTACGGTGCGCCCTTGAGGGAAGCATATCAATGTATGACATGGAGATCGAGCGAAGGCCTTACCATCGCAACTGCAGCTGTGCTCTGCACAACTCAAAAGGTGCATGTTTGAACTCTTGTCTTCAAAGCAGCAGGAACATTTCATTCAACAAGAAGAAGTCATGGAATGAATTTTCCATCTCCTTAGCAGCTTCCAAATTCTCTCATCAATCCTCCTTTCTCAGAAGCTCCCCAGCAGTTAAGGATAAAGATGATGAAACTGAGGCTCTGTCAGGTAGATAACAAAAATTCAGACATTGTCATATAGACTGTAGAATTCCAATAGAGGTAGAATGAAAAGGTTAGGAATCGAGAAGCTATTTTGTTCATTTGTTTCTCTATTCTTATTCCTCAAGTACAGTTACTTCCATCTTCATCCTTGTAAATTCCGTGAATTTTACGAAAGTATTCTGTTTAGTTTCTGTCCATAACAACGTTATTTTCGGTGGGGTTTTCCATAACAATGTTGCATATGCATTTAAAATTTTAAGTCTATTCATTTCTATCATGTTCTTTTTAAAAAATCAAAATGTTTTTTTTTTTTTTTTCTTTCCTGCTAAAATATTTTTTTAAAAGAAATATTTCAATAGCTAAAAATATTGTGATCTTGTAGATAGGGATACATGCATTCATATGTTCACAAGACATCCATCCACATTCATCCATAAGTTTATGCGTTTGATCAAAAAATACTTGTGCTACCTACTTGACATGCTAGTTGTGTTCTATATCGGGCAATAGCTTGGAATACTAATTGTCAAAAATAAAATTTTTTGCTAGAAAGATAAACCTCTTTGAGAAACAGTAAAAAGTATTAGGCAACAAAAGGTAGAGAATTTAACCAAAGAAAGGACATGTTGATTCTTTGTGTTTTAAAAAGTTGAGCGATTCTAACAAGAAAGAAGAGATATAAGCATTTAAAATGGCAATAGAAATTATATGAACAAGCTACTACAACAAATTCATAAAACCAAAGTAGGAGAAACAGTCGAGCAAAGACATGCATAGTAAACATAAATTTACAATACCAACGGGCCAGTGGCCTAGCGGTATTGGCCTCTTACTTCCCAAAGGGAGGTTAAGGGTTTAAGTCCCATAAGAGACGTGTGTGTGAGTACCAACTAGGGAAAAAAAAAAAAAAAAAAAAAAACATAAATTTACAATATTTGTTGTAACTAGATATTAATTACTACTCTTCATCCCTAAATGAATGACTTTTCCCAACTCATTTGTTGTAACTACATTTTAATTAATCCTTCTCTTCATCCCTAAATGAATTACTTTTCCTAATTTATCAAAACTTTCGTATCTTTACTCCTATTTTGAAAATTATACTTAAAACTTTTTATAACATGCTCATAAATTTTTTTAGTACCTTAAAGCACAACTGTCAAGCAGAGAATTAGGATATAAATTTTAGGGGAACCATATTGTGCCAAAAATGTCAAAAACCCATGCTTAGGCCAACCTCACTACCACATTACATTGACAATAAGGTGTTTTTATCCAAATATAATGTACACAATAAAAAATATGCAAGAGAATTTTCATTGGTTGTTTCAAGATATCAATTGTTATTTTTATTCTTACTATTCTAATATCCCATGCATCAGCTACTCTGCATACTAGTTGCGACAAAATTTGTTTCATATGTTTAGGAATCAACGTTAGTAAACAAACACATAAAATAGAGTAACAGGGCATTATCAATTTCCCAGGACACTTTGAAAGGTGACCTGGGAATGGAACTAGCCATTAACATATATATAAAGTCTATAAAAGTCAAAAAATAGTACTACGTTTTAAAAAATAGAGAATTTGATTAAAATATGACTACAAATCTGTGAGTTATTAACGAGAAAGGCAATTAACTATACGACAAAAGAATCAATGGAAGCATTGTGTGTGGCAACAGGAGCCTCTCTCTCTCTCTCTGTCTATCATCAAAGAAAGAATAAAAATATTGCCTACGTGTTCACTGCATATCCAAATCAAATTGTTTCCTATTGACTCTTGACCACATGGCCAAATATTTTATTTATTTTTACCAGAATGCCATTTAGATGGGGAGTGTTCATCAAATGTCTAAACATGTCAACTTATCAAAAAAAAAAAAAAAATTGTCTAAACATGTCAAAGCCATATACAGTCCCTGGAATTACTGCTCTCTAAATCGGGTTTGCTTATTTCATCTACTTATCCTTTCTCTTTCCCAAAAAGGATAAGTAGACAGGGAGTGTTCATCAAATGTCTAAGCATGTCAAAGCCATATACAGTCCCGGGACATAACTGCTCTCTAAATCGGGTTTGCTCATCTACTCAACCTTTCGCTTTCTCAATTGAGACAGAGGATTGCTAAACATCCATTCTCACTAACATTGTCAGTTGCACATGCTTACATGGATCTCATATACCAGGGCTGTGTGAATGTGCTACAAATAAAAAAACAAAAGCAAAGAAGAAACAAAAAAATGCTGACTTCACTAGTGAACCGCCGTGCTTACATCCAGTAGAATTACCAGGGGGAAAAAAAAAAAACAAGTTTACATAAGATTGAATGGAAAATAAGAGTGAGAAAAAGAACAAGTCAGGATACAAAATGCAAATTATTTAGATGATTGTAGTGCCAAAAAGCAAATGAACTTAGATGAGTTGACATGATAACATTTGCAATGTTGACTAAAACAGCATTACAGATAAGAACTCCAGAACATTGCTCATATATGCTATAATAGAGTCTGAGATTACCTGTGTGGGATGGGTACATTGGCTCATACTTGTGCACAATTATGTAATGGTGGTGGGTCTGAACCATAACCTGCATGCTGCATTAAGTAAAATTAGCCTAACTCATTCTCACAGATCTCAAGAGCGAGCAATGGTCAAAGCAGCAAGCATATTCCTACTTAGTGAATCCCCCCAATATGTCATATTGATATTATTAATACTATAAGCATCAGAGATCAACTAGATGTATGTTGACTCCATGAGTCATGACATGAATCCAGTCATTGTATAGATAACTCTTTTAGAAAGTAAAAATGACAAGCAAAGACAGTGAAAACCAATTTAGAAGAGTAAGGATGAACAAGAACTCCAGTTTAAGACACATTTATAATGTTTTAATAGAAATGCACTTGAACACAGTCCGCAATCTTCAAATTAGACTGCAATACAAGAATTACTGTTATATTTGATGAACAAATAACCTTAAAGCAAGAAGTGATACAGTACACAGCATCAGAAAAAAGAAACTTTATTGAAAAAAATTTGCACTGACAACATAAACTTAAAGAATTCAAAATAGAGTTATTACTTTAATTTAAACATTAAATCATATAATACATGACTTACATATCAGCATCTATAAAAATATAAGGTTAGCAATACAAAGATTTTATTCTAAATGCAAAACTGACAATTTAAAAAGCTATCCAGTGCCATTTCATATATAGACTATAAGATTCCATAATAGATTAAATAATTTTATAATAAAACGTATAATGCATGACTTAGATAGCAACTTGAAGAAAAAAAAATAGACATAAAAAGGTTTTATTCTATACTGTAAATTGGATATATAAAAAAGGAAAAACGAACAGAGAGGATGCACTATAGAGTGCCAATTCATAAAACTGTGCAGCAAAAGAAAGAAAAGGAGCTTGGTCTACACTGGTGAAACATGTGAAACCCCAATTTTAAATGAGATATTTATAGGTTTTTGTATTCTCCAATCTCTCGAGTAAGTGTAGCAAACTGAAGTTTTTTTATCAAGTTATTTATAAACCAGATTTTTCTACCTTCCTTTACTTCTTTTTTTATTTTTTTATTTTCAATAAATATCCTAGCAACAAGAAAATATATTTGACAATCAACTATTTTAATGAACACAAAAAGCTGGAAATGTTAGATGCAAGAAATTGAGAAGCAACAAAATATACATGGCTATCTTGTCGTCTGGCTTAAAGCCGATTTTGATTTATGAAGACAGAAAAGGATTTAGTGTGGAAAATGAAGGTTACAAAATGGCTGCCGCAGAATTCACAAATTCTAGCCTCTCCATCAAACCAACCCCAAACCCCCCCACCCACACCCACACACAAGAAATAAATAAACAAATGGACCTTCTATACTTGGATCAAAAGATTAAAAAAATTATATAGATAACAACCCATAAAAAGCCCCAAACAAAAATAGAAAATCACACAAAAAAATAAAATTGGACAACCAGGAATGTCGTGGGACCCCACCAAGACCTGGAGGACGCTAACAAAATATTTTGACTGCCCTAGCTTGTCGAGTGTCAGCCATCCAATTTTTTATTTTTATTTTTTATTTTTAAAAAAATACAAGACCAATTGAACTGAGAATCCAACACAATATCACAAAAGGCGACAAAAAAGTGGTCAAAATAAAATACGTATTCATAGAATTAACTAATTATCCCTTCCCTCATATTTCAAAGCTGAATGAAAGACAGAAGTACCCAGTACTGCATAATTATATATATTGAACTTTTCACCCATTATTCAATTCACCATATAATACAGCATAAAATAACATCAAGTTAAAAGACATGAGACATAATATTTTATTCACTCTACCAGAAGTGAAAAGAAGAAATCGCCCTGGAGTTTGGAATTACACAAATGAGCATGGGACAAAAATAAAAAGTTCTAGTGCACACCACAATAATATGTCAAGGTGGGGGCCATTTAGTTGTATGTAGTGACAATAAAACAAAGATTCTTTGTTGCATAGACATAAACGCCTCACTCCTGAACAATAAAATTGGCAAAGATCCAAAATAATTAGTTAACAACCTCTGTACAATAACTTGCAAAGCCGAGCCAAACCAAACAAATCCAAGCCATCTCTCTCTCTCTCTCTCTCAATATAATAGGTTTCAAACGAAAAACGCTGATACTTTACTAGGGAAAAACGTATTTCTTAAACCCTTATCAAGGTAACTACATCGGGAAGAACCCTACCAAACCACTCTCGAATTCAACTCCTCGCAAAAATATTCTCCCTCGAATCCTCCCACACTACCATCCTTCAAATAATCATTCCTGCCCTATATAAACAGTTCAAAAACATGCAGAAGTTTCAAAACACTTCAATTCACTCAAGAAACCGACACCACCCACCCACATTCCACAGACACTACAGACTCGGGAGAGAGAGAGAATGGCCACTGCAGCAGCAGAGATAATGCTACGGTGCGCTTTCAATGGAAGCATATCAATGTATGACATGGAGATCAAGCGAAGGCCTTACCATCGCAACTGCAGCTGTGCTATGCACAAGTCAAAAGCTGCATGCTTAAACTCTTGTCTTCAAAGCTGCAGGAACATTTCATTCACCAAGAAAAAATCATGGAATGAATGTTCCATGTCCTTAGCAGCTTCCAAATTCTCTCATCAATCCTCCTTTCTCAGGAACTCCTCAGCAGTTAGAAATAAAGATGATGAAACTGAGGCTCTGTCAGGTAGATAACACAAATTCAGACATTGTCATATAGATTGTAGACATTCCAATAGAGATAGAATGAAAAGGTTAGGAATCGAGAAACAATTTTCTTCATTTGTTTCTCTATTCTTTTTCCTCAAGTACAGTTACTTCAATCTTCATCCTTGTAATTTTTGGTGAATTTTACAAATTCTGTTTTAGTATCTCTGTCCATAACATTATTTTCGGTAGGGTTTGTCCATAACAATGTTGCATATGCATGCAACATAAACAAATTTATGATTAATTCCCCTTGTTCCAGATTTTAAAATTTTATGCCTGTTCATTTTCTATAATGTCCTTATAAAAAATAAAAATGTTCTCTTTTTAATTTTTTTTTGGCTGGCAAAAAAAAAATTTTTAAAGGAAATATTTCAATAGATAAAAATTTATTTTCATATGATTTGAAGATGGGAATAAATGCATTCATATGTTAATAAGGCATCCATACACATTCATCCTACTATATGTACAATATAATAAATTATTTTTTTCTTTTTTAAGTTCATGCCTTTGATCAAAAACTACTTGTGCAACATGCTAGTTGCATCATAAATCAGGGGATAGCCTGCAATATTAATTGTAAAAAAAAAAAAAAAAAATTGTTAGAAAGATAAACCTCTTTGAGAAACCCTCAAAAGTATTTGGCAACAAAAAGTAGAGAATTTAACTTGAGAAAGGACAAGTTGATTCTTTGAGTTTTTAACAAGTTAGGCGATTCTAACAAGAGAGAATAGATAGGAGCATTTAAAATGCAATAAAAATTATATGAACAAGCTACTACAACAAATTCTTACAAACAATGTAGGAAGAATAGTTGAGCAAAGACATGCATAGTAAATATAAATTTATAATATTTGTTTTAACTGCATATTAGTTAATCCTCCTCTTCATCCCTAAATGAATTACTTTTCTTCCCTTATCAAAACTTTCATATCATCACTTCTATTTTGAAAATTATACCCAAATTTTTTATACCATGTTTATAATTTTTTTAAACATGATATTTTTTAGTATCTTAAAGCACAACTGTCAAGCTGAGAATTAGGATATAAATTTTAGGGCAATCATATTGTGCAAAAAATGTCAAAAACCCATGCTTATGCCAACCTCACTAACATTACATTGACAATAAAGCGTTTTTATCCAAATAAAACAGACACGATAATAAATACATGAGAAATTTCGTTTAAAGATATTAATTGTTCCATTTATTCATTACTATTCTAATATTGTTCCAAATATCACATGCATCACCTTCTATGCATAGCAGTTGAGACTAAATTTGTCTCATATGTTTAGGAATCAACGTCAGTATACAAACATATAAAATAGAGTAACAGGGCATTACCAATATCCAAGGACACTTTTAAGGGTGACCCGGACGGAACTTGCCACTAACATAAATATAAAGTCAAAAAATAGTAGCAGATATTAAAAAAATAGAGAACTTGACTAAAATATGAGTACAAGGCTTTGAGTTATTACCGAGGAAGGCAACTACGCAACAAAAAAAAAAATCAAGGAATGATTGTGCGGCAACAGGTGCCTCTCTCTCTCTCTCTTTCTCTCTCTTCCCCAAAGAAAGAGTAAAAATATTGCCCACATGTTCACTGCATATCCAACTCAGATTGTTTCCTATTGACTCTTGACCACTGACCCAAAAATCTGTTATACCAGAATGCTATTTAGACTGGGAATGTTCATCAAAATGTCTAAACATGTCAGCCATATATAGTCCTAGGATATAACTGCTCTCTAAATCGGGTTTGCTTATTTCATCTACTTATCGTCTCTCTTTTCCTCAATAGAGACACAGGATTGCTAAACATCCATTCTCACTAACATTGCCGGTTGCACATGCTTACATGGATCTCATATACCAGTGCTGTGTGAATGTGGTGCAAATTAAAAAACGAAAACAGAGAGGAAAAAATTTTGCTGGCATCACAAGTGAACAGTGATTACATCCAGTAGAATTACCAGGGAAAAAAAAAAATGTTTACATGAGATAGATTGGAAAATAAGAGAGAGAGAAAGAACAAGTCTGGAAACAAAATGCACATTATTTAGATGATTGTAGTGCCAAAAAAGCAAATGAACTTAGACGAGTTGACATTTGACATGACACCATCTGCTATGTTAATGAAAACAGCATTACAGAAAAGAACTCCAGAACGTTGCTCAAATCTGCTATAATAGAGAGAGTGAGATTACCCGCGTGGGATGGTAGAATGGCTCATACTTGTGCAAAATTATGCAATGGCGGTGGCTCTGAACCATTACCTGCATACTGCAGTAAGTAAAATTAGCCTAACTCATTTCTCTCAGAACCCAAGTAAGAGCATTGGTCAAGGCAGCAACATCCTTGAACACGGTCCACAATCTTCAAATCATAATCACTTTTTTTATCTGATTAACATATAACCTTAAAGCAAGAAGTGATACATTACGCAACATCAGAGAACATCAGATACAAAAGCAGCTCTACAGCTTTCTAGAAGGAAGTTTAGTCAAATATTTTATTTCCTTCACCACTAAACCATATATTTGAGAAAAGGAACTTAATTTTTTATAAAAAAAAAAAATTGCACTGAGAACATAAACTAAAATAATAAAAAATAGAATTAATAATTTACACATTAAAACATATCATACATGAATATCAGCAGCAAAAAAAAAAAAAAAAAAAAAAAATGTAAGGTTAGCAATACAAAGATTTTATTTTAACTTCAAAACTGACATTAAAAATATCAATAAACAAAGAATGATCCAGTGCCAATTCATATAAACAATAGAAGATTCCACAATAGATTAACTAATTTTACACTAAAACGCATTATGCACAACTTAGATAGTAGCATCAAAACATAAAATAGTGTGCTGTTGTGGCCTGAATTTGGTGCCGTGTCACAACTCGATGACCCGTTGGAAAATTTTTGAACCGTTTTAGCTTGTAGGTCGGGGACCCTAATTAGTACTCTCTTGTAGCCCGATATATAAGGGCATTTAGGGTGTGAAGCGCAAAATAGAGAGAGAGAGAGAGAGAGAGTGAGAGGCTGAAACTTGTAATCTCCTATTTTTCGCATGGTGAAGTCTTTTGCCGGAGCTCCACCATGGATGTAGGCTTTGCCGAACCACGCTGTTCTTTGTGTGTGGTATGATTACTTTTGTAGTGTTTCTTGATTTATTCTTGAGTTCGCTGCATTTGTCGTAACAAATAGCAATACAAAGATTTTATTCTATACTGCAAATTGGACAAAAAAAAGAAAAATGAACAGAAATGATGCACAATAGAGTGCCATTTCATAGAAATGTGCAGCAAAAGAAAGGGCAGTAGTCGTAAAAAATGTGAAACCCCAATTTCTAATGTGATCTTTATAGGTTTTTGTCTTTTCCAATCACTCGAGCAAGTGTAGTAAATTTGAAGGTTTTTACCTATTTTATTTATACAACCAGATTTTTCATTCTTTTTTTTCTTTACTTTTTTATTTTTATGTTATTACATAAGTTTTCATGCAACAAGAAAATAGGACAACCAACTACTTAAATGAACACAAAAAGCTGAAAATGTTAGGGCCGCTCTAAGTTTAGAGTTTGCTATAAATAGAGAAAGATACAAGAAATAGGGAAGCGCACACAAAATTTTTGGATATTTTGTGGTTTGGCTTAAAGCCGATTTTGATTGATGAAGACGTAAAGGATTTAGTGTGGAAAACAAAGGTTGCAAGATGGCTGCCACAGAACTCACAAATTCTAGCTTTTCTCCATCATACAAACCCCCCCCCCCCCCCCCCACAAAAAATAAATAAACAAATGGACCTTTTATACTTGGATCAAAATATGCAATAAATTATAGATTACAACTAATAAAAAGACCCAAACAAAAATGGTGGATCACACAAAAAAAAAAAAGGATGAGGGGGAATGTCCTGAGACCCCCCACCAAGACCTAAAGGAAGCAAACCAAAACTTTTTGACTGCTCTAGCTTGTCAAGTGTCAGCAATCCATTTTGTTTTTTGTTTTTTTTTTAAATTTTTTTAAAAAAAAGACCAATTGAACTGAGAATCCATAACATCACAAAAGGAGATAAAAAAGCGGTCAAAATGCAATAATATATATTCAATAACATTCACTAATTATCCCTTTCCTCTAATTTTAAAGAAGAAATAAAAGATAGAAATACCCAAATCTTTATAGCATTACTATTTTCATCACCAAAAGCCTTCTCTTTGTACTCTCTTCATTTGTGTCAAAAAGTCGCAGCTTTTGCAAAAGAAAATGTTATCAAACCAGTGCAGCATAATTTTATATATTGAACTTTTCACCATTTTCTTCACGTCGCATTACAATATCATCATTTTAAAATACTTAGGATATAATATTTAATTCACTCTATCTGAAGTGAAAGGAAGAAATCGCCTTGAAATTTGGATTTACACAAATGAGCACGGGACAATTATTTCTATCAATATAACCACCATCAAGAAGCAAAAATATAAAGTTAAAGTGCAGAACCCAATAATATGTCCAGGTGGGGGCCATTTACTTGTATGTAGTGACATTGAAACACAGAATCTTTATTCTATAGAAATTAACGTCCCACTACCAGAACAATATAATTGGCAAAGATCCATTATAATTAGTTAACGACCTTTATAATATTCCACTGTACAATAACATGCAAAGCCGAGCCAGACCAAACAAAGCCAAGCCATCTCTCTCTTTCTCTCTCTCTCAACATAATAGGTTTCACAGGAAAAATACCGATACTTTCCTAGGGAAAAACGTCTTTCTTAAGCCCTTAGCAAGGTAATTACATTGGAAAGAACCCTAGCAAAATCTACTCCTCACAAAAATATTCTCCCTCGAATCCTCCCACGCTACCATCATTCAAATAATCATTCCTCCTCTATATAAACAGTTCAAAAAATATGCAGAAGTTTCAAAACACTTCAATTCACTCAACACACCGACACCCACCCACCCACATTCCACACACACTAAAGACTCAGGGAGAGAGAGAGAGAGAGAGAGAGAGAGAGAGAGAGAATGGCCACTGCAGCAGCAGAGATGATGCTACGGTGCACCTTTGATGCAAGTATATCAATGTATGACATGGAGATGGAGCGAAGGCCTTACCATCGCAACTGCAGCTGTGCTCTGCACAACTCAAAAGCTGCATGCTCGAACTCTTGTCTTCAAAGCTGCAGGAACATTTCATTCACCAAGAAGAAGTCATGGAATGAATGTTCCATGTCTTTAGCAGCTTCCAAATTCTCCCATCAATCCTTATTTCTCAGCAGCTCCTCAGCAGTCAAGAATAAAGATGATGAAACTGAGGCTCTGTCAGGTAGATAACACAAATTCAGACATTGCCATATAGATTGTAGAAATTCCAATAGAGATAGAGTGAAAAGGTTAGGAATCGAGAATCTATTTTGTTCATTTGTTTCTCTATTCTTATTCCTCAAGTACAGTTACTTTGATCTTCATCCTTGTAAATTCCGGTGAATTTCACAACAGTATTCTGCTTTAGTTTCTGTCCATAACAATTTTGCATATGCATTCGACATAAACAAATTTATAGTCAATTCCCCTTGTTCAAGATTTAAAATTTTAAAGTGTATTTATTTTCTATCACGTCCTTTTAAAAAATCAGAATTTTTTTTTTTTTTTGTTGGTAATTTTTTTAAAAATAATAATAATAATGTGATACAATTTGTAGACAGGGATACATGCATTCATATGTCCATAAGACATGCATACACATTCATCCTAATATATACGATAAAAGAATATAATAATGTTTTCTTTTTTCTTTTTTAAGTTTGTGTTTGATTAAAAAATACTTGTGCTACCTACTCGACCTGCTAGTTGCGTTCTAAACCGGGCAACAGCTTGAATATTAATTTAATACAAAGACCAACCTCTTTGAGAAAGAGAATTTAACCAAAGAAAGGACATCTGGGTTCAATGAGTTTTTAACAAGTTAGGCGTTGTCAGAAGAAAGAATGGATAGAAGCATTTAAAAAGGTAATAAAAATTATATGAACAAAGTACTACAACAAATTCTTAAAAACAATGTAGGAAGAACAGTGAAACAAAGACATGCATAGTAAATATAAATTTATAATATTAGTTGCAACTATATATTAATTAATCTTCCTCTTCAACCCTAAATGAATTACTTTTCGTCCCTTATCTAAACTTTCGTATCATCAGTTCTATTTTGAAAATTACACCCAAACCTTTTATACCCTGTTTATAAATTTTTTTAAGCATTATATATTTTTAGTATGGCACAACTGTCAAGCGCAAAATTAAGAAATAAATTAGAGGGAAACCATATTTTGCCAAAAATGAATGTCAAATACCCATGATTAGTCCAACCTCAATAACACATTACATTGACAATAAGGTGTTTTTATCCAAATATAATGTACATGATAATAAATATGCAAGAGAATTTTTCATTGGTCTTTCAAAGAATTCAATGGTTCTTTTTATTCTTTACTATTCTAATATTGTCCAATTATCACATGCATCACCTACTCTGCATATTAGTTGGGACTAATTTGTCTCATATGTTTAGGAATCAACGTTAGTATACAAACATATAAAATATAGTAACAGGCCTTTAACAATTTCCAAGAATACTTAAAAGGGCTACCTTGGAATGGAACTAGGCATTAACATAAATATAAAGTCTAAAAAAGCCATAAAATAGTACTAGATATTCAATGGAAGCATTGTGTGTGGCAACAGGTCTCTCTCTCTCTCTCTCTCATGCCAAAGAAAAGTAAAAATATTAACCACATGTTCACTGCATATCCAACTCAGATTGTTTCCTTGACTTTTGACCACATGCCCAATAATTTTGTTTTACCAGAATGCTATATAGACAGGGAATGTTCATCAAATGTCTAAACATGTCAAAGCCATATATAGTCCCAGGACATAACTCCTCTCTAAATCCAGTTTGCTGATTTCATCTACCTATCCTCCCTTTTTCTCAATAGAGACGGAGGATTGCTAAACATCCATTCTCACTAATATTGCAGCTTGCACGTGCTTACATGGATCTCATATATAACAGTGCTGTGTGAATGTAGTAAAGAGGAAAAAATTTTGCTGGCATCACTAGTGAACAGCGTTTACATCCAGTAGAATTACCAGGAAAAAGGAAAGAAAAAAAAAAAAATTGTTTACATAAGATAGATTAGAAAATAAGAGAGGGAAAAAGAACTAGTCTGGAAACAAAATGCACATTATTTAGAAGATTGTAGTGCCAAAAAGCAAATGTACTTAGATTAGTTGACATGAAAACACGGGAAAAAAATTATTGCCATCACTAGTGAACAGTGTTTTCATCCAGTAGAATTAGCAGGAAAAAGGAAAAAATATATATATATATATATATATATATATATATATATATATATATATATATGTTTACATAAGATATAGATTGGAAAATAAGAGAGAAAAATAACTAGTCTGGAAACAAAATGCACATTATTTAGATGATTGTAGTGACAAAAAGCAAATGAACTTAGATTAGTTGACATGACACCATTTCCAATGTTAACGAAGACAGCATTACAGAAAAAAAAACTCCAGAACATTGCTCAAATCTGCTATAATAGAGACACTGAGATTACCGGTGTAGGATGGGTACAATGGCGCATACTTGTGCACAATTATGTAAAGGTGGTGGGTCTGAACCATTACCTGCGTGCTGCCGTAAGTAAAATTAGCCTAACTCGTTCTCTCTGATCTCAGTTAAAACTTAAAAGCGTTGGTCAAAGCAGCAATGTACTCGAACCCAGTCCACAATCTTCATATCAGATTGCAATACCAGAATCACTTTTTTTATCTGATTAGTAAATAACGTTGAAGTAAGAAGTGATACATTACACAAATCCAGAGAAGGTTAGATACAAAAGCAGTTCTAAAGCTTTCTAGAAGGAAGTTTAGTCAATTTCTTTATTTCTTACACCATTAACACATATATTTGAGAAAAAGAACTTTAAAAAAAAAAATTTGCACTGACAGCATAACTAAAAGAATCAAAAATAGAATTACTAATTTAAACATTAAAACATATAAACACGACTTATATCAGCATAAATAAAAATATAAGGTTAGCAATACAAAGATTTTATTCTAACTTCAAAACTGACATTAAAAATATCAATAAACAAAGAATAAACTATCCAGTGCCGTTTCATATATACACTAGAAGATTCACAATAGATTAACTAATTTTACAATAAAAAATACAATGCACTACTTAGATAGCAGCATGAAAAAATAAAATAGCAATTCAAAGATTTTATTCTGTACTGCAAATTGGACATATAGAAAGGAAAAATAAATGGAAAGGATGTACTATACAGTGCCATTTCATAGATCTGTGAAGCAAAAGAAAGAGAAGTAGCTTGCTCTACAAGGTGGTGAAAAATGTGATACCCCAATTTCTAATGAGATATTTATAGGCTTTTGTCTTCTCCAATCACTCGAGCAAGTGTAGCAAATTTGATTTTTTTTTACCAAGTTATTTATACAACCAGATTTTTCTTTCTTTCTTTCCAGATTGATGACGACGAAGAAGGATTTAGTGTGGAAAATGAAGGTTACAAGATGGCTGCCACAGAACTCACAAATTCTAGCCTCTCCATCATACAACCCCCCCAAAACACACACACCCACACCGCAAATTATAGATAAACAAATGGACCTTTTACAATTGGATCAAAAGATAAAAGAAATTTTATAGAGTACAACTCATAAAAAGACCAAAACAAAAATAGAGGATCATACAAAAATAAAATTGGACAAGGAAGCGAACCAAATCTTTTTGACTGCCCTAGCTTTTCAAGAGTCAGCATTCCATTTTAAAAAAAAAAAAAAAAAAAAAAAAGGAGCTAATGAACTAAGAATCCAAGACAACATCACAAAAGGAGACACAAAAATGGTCAAAATGATATATACGTATTCATTAAAATTCACTAATTATACCTTTCCTCTAATTTCAAAGCAGAAATAAAATTAACTAGTATTGAAACGCATGTTGCTTTAGCCTTTAAAGGTAGCGAGGGTGGGCAGCATGTTCGGTTAAAACTTCCATTAGCCTTGATCTAAACAGGCGATAAGAAAATACACAAATCTTTATAGCATTGCTAATTTCATCAACAAAAGCCATCTCTTTGTACTCTCTTCATTTGTGTCAAAAAGACGCAGATTTTGCATAAGAAAATGTTACCAAACCAGTGTTGCATAATTATATATATTAAACTTTTCACCACATTCTTCAGCTCACCATATAATATCATCAGGTTAAAATACTTGAGACATAATATTTTATTCCTGTCTGAAGTGAAAGGAAGAAATCGCCTTGAAGTTTGGAATTATACAAATGAGCATGGGACAATTATTTCTATCAATATCACCACCATCAAGAAACAAAAATTTAAAGTTAAAGGGCAGAACCCAATAATATGTCCAAGTGGGGGCCAATAATTTGTATGTAGTGACATTAAAACACAGTTTCTTTGTTGTATAGAAAGAAACGTCCCACTCCTATTCCTAGAACAACCATACAATGGCAAAGATCCATTATAATTAGTTAAGGACCTTTACAATATTCCACTATACGATAACTTGCAAAGCCGAGCCAAACCAAACAAAGCCAAGCCATCTCTCTCTCTCTCTCTCTCTCTCAACATAATAGGTTTCACAGGAAAAACACTGATACTTTCCTAGGGAAAAACGTCTTTCTTAAACCCTTAGCAAGGTAACTACATCGGGAAGAACCCTACCAAACTACTCTCGAATTCTACTCCTCATAAAAATATTCTCCCTCGAATCCTCCCACACTACCATCCATCAAATAATCATTCCTGCTCTATATAAACAGTTCGAAAAATATTCAGAAGTTTCAAAACACTTCAATTCACTCAACACACCAACACCCACCCACCCACATTCCACACACACTGAAGACTCAGGGAAAAGAGAGAGAGAATGGCCACTGCAGCAGTAGAGATGATGTTACGGTGTGCCCTTGATGGAAGCATATCAATGTATGACATGGAGATTGAGCGAAGGCCTTACCATCGCAACTGCAGTTGTGCTCTGCACAACTCAAAAGCTGCATGCTCGAACTCGTCTTCAAAGCTGCAGGAACATTTCATTCACCAAGAAGAAGTCATGGAATGAATGTTCCATGTCTTTAGCAGCTTCCAAATTCTCCCACCAATCCTCCTTTCTCAGCAGCTCCTCAGCAGTTAGGAACAAAGATGATCAAACTGAGGCTCTGTCAGGTAGATAACACAAATTCAGACATTGCCATATAGATTGTAGAGATTCCAATAGAGATAGAATGAAAAGGTTAGGAATCGAGAAGCTATTTTGCTCATTTGTTTCTCTATTCTTATTCCTCAAGTACAGTTGTTTCCATCTTCATCCTTGTAAATTCTAGTGAATTTTATGAAAGTATTCTCTTTTAGTTTCTTTGTCCATAACAATGTTGCATATGCATTCAACATAAACAAATCTACGGTCAATTCCCCTCGTTCCAGAATTTACAATTTTAAGTCTTTTCTTTTTCAACCACATCCTTTTTATTAAAATTCTTTTTTTTTTTTCCGTCTGGTAAAGGTAATTCTAAAAAAGAAAGAAATGTTTCAATTGCTAATTAAATCTTTTAATCTGATATGTAGATAGGATTACATTCATGCATATGTTCATAAGACATCTATACACATTCATCCTACTATATATGAAAAAAATATATAATAATAATTTCTTTCTTTTCTTTTCTTTTCCTTTTTTAAGTTTCTGCGTTTCTTCAAAAAATACTTGTGCTACCTACTCTACATGCTAGTTGCGTTATAAATCGGGCAATAGCTTTTATAAGTATTTAACAGGAAAAAAAGAAGAAGATATATATGCCTCTTCGATAAACCAAAAGTATTAGGCAACAAAAAATAGAGAACTTAACCAAAGATGGGACATGTTGGAGTTTTAAACAAGTTAGGCGATTATAACAACAAAGAATAGATTGCAGCATTTCAATTAGGAAAAAATGATATGGACAAGCTACTACAACAAATTCTTACAAACAATGTAGGAAGAACAGTTGAGTAAAGGTACGCATAGTGAACATATATTTATAATATTTGTTGCAACGATATATCAATTAATCCTTCATCCCTGACTTACTTTTCATCCTCTTATCAAAACCTTCATATCGTCACTTCTATTTTGAAAATAATACCCAAACTTTTTATAGCCCATATATAAATTTTTTTAAACATTATATTTTTTAGTATGGTAAAGCAGAACTGTCAAGCGGAGAATTGGGGTATAAATTTGAGGCCAACCTCACTAGCACATTACATTGACAATATGGTGTTTTTATCCAAATATAATGTACACAATAATAAATATGCTAGATAAATTTTCATTGGTCATTTAAAGAATTCAATCGTATCTTTTATTATTTACTATTCTAATATTGTTCAAATATACTATGCATGACCTACTCTGCATACTAGTTGGGACTAAATTTGTCTCATACGTTTAGGAATCAACGTTAGTCTACGAACATATAAAATAGAGTCACAGAGCACTACCAATTTCCAAGGATACTTAGAAGGGTGACCTTGGAATGGAACAACCCATTAACTTAAATATGAAGTCTTTACTTACCAAAAAAAAAAAAAAAAATGAAGTCTTTAATGAAGTCATAAAATAGTACTAGATATTAAAAAATAGAGAATTTGATTAAAATATGACAACAAATACTTGCGTTATTAACGAGAAAGACAATGACACGACAAAAGAATCAATGGAAGCATTGCGTGTGGCAACAGGTCTCTCTTTCTCTCTTGCCAAAGAAACACAGAAAGAGTAAACAAATTGCCAACGTGTTTACTGCATATCCAACTCAGATTGTTTCCTCTTGAGTCTCGACCACATGCCCAAATAAATCTTTTTACCAGAATGCTATATAGACAGGGAACGTTCAGCAAATGTCTAAACATGTCAAAGGCATATATAGTCCCAGGACATAACTCCTCTAAATCGGGCTTGCTTATTTCAACTACTTATCCTCCCTTTTTTTCTCAAAAGAGACAGGATTGTTATATTACAGATAAGAACTCCAGAACATTGCTCAAATATGCTATAATAGAAAGTCTGAGATTAACCGTGCGGGATGGGTACAGGGGCTCATACTTGTGCCCAATTATGTAATGACGGTGGGTCTGAACCATTACCAGCATGCTGCAGTACGAAAAACTAGTCAAACTCGTTCTCACAGATCTAAAGTATTACAACAGTAACAATGGAAGAGCAATGGTCAAAGCAGCAAGCATATTCTTATTTAGTGAATCCCGCAACATGTTATAATGACAGTGTTAATTTTATAAGCATCAGAGATTGACTAGCTTTATGTTGATTCCATGAGTCATAACAATAGTCCTCTCAATGTATAGATAACTTTTTTTAAAAGTAAAAAAGGCGAGCAAACGACAGTGAAAACCAATTAAGAAGCATAAGGGTTAAATATATATATATATATGCATTACACAACATCAGAGAACATCAGATACAATAGCAGCTCTACAGCTTTCTTGAAGGAAGTTTAGTCAATTTCTTTAGCTTAGAACACTAACCATATTTGAGGAAAGGAACTTTATTTAAAAATAGATAAAAATTGCACTGACAACATAAACTATAAGAATCCAAAATAGATTTATTAGTTTAAACATTAAAACATACAATACATGACTTACATATCATCATCAATAAATAAATAAGATTAGCAGTACAAAGATTTTATTCTAACTTCAAAACTGACATTAAAAATATCACTAAACAAACAATGCACTATCCAGTGCCATTTCATATATAGATTAGAAAATTCAACAATAGATTAACTATTTTTTTTTTTTACAAAAAAATAAACGTATAATGCAAGACCTAGACAGCAACATGAAAAATATATATATAAATATATATATATATATATATATATAGCAATACAATAATTTTATTATATACTGCAAAGACATAAAAAGGACCACTGAACAGAAAGGATGCACTATAGGCTGCCATTTCATAAAACTGGGCAGCAAATAAGAGAGAAGCAGCTTGCTCTACAAGGTGGTGAAAATTGTGCCACCAATTTCTAATTAGATATTCGTATGTTTTTGACTTCTCCAATCTCCCGAGTAAGTGTAGCAACTTTGCAGTTTTTCACCAAAATATTTATTCAATCAGATTTTTCTTTCTTTCTTTTTTATTTATTTATTTATATTTTTTTACAACAAGTAGACATACAATATTTCAATGAACACAAAAAGCTGGAAATGTTGGGGCATCTCTAAGTTCAGAGTTTGCAATTAATAGAGAATGATGCAAGAACTTGAGAAGCAGACACAAAAATACACGGTTATTTTGTGGTCTGGCTTAAAGTCCGTCTTGATTGATGAAGACAAAAATGATTTAGTGTGGAAAATGAAGGCTACAAGATGGCTGCCCGAGAACTGACAATTTCTAGCCTCAGATATGGAGGATCACATACAAAAAAAAAAAAATTCGACCAGGTGCAACATCCTGGGACCCCCACAGGCCCCACCATGACCTCTAAGAAGTTAACCAAATATTTTCGACTGCTCTATCATATCAAGTGTCTACCTTCCATTTTTTTTTTTTTTTTATTTATAAAAAGACCAATAGAACTCAGAATCCAAAACAATCACAAAAGGCAACAAAAAAGTGGTCAAAATGCCACGTACATATTCATTGAAATTCACTAATTATTCCTTTCCTCTAATTTCAAAGCAGAAGTGAAAGACAGAAATACCCAAATCTTTATAACATTACTAATTTTATCTCCAAAATCCTTCTCTTTCTATTCTCATTATTTTTGTTAAAAAGATGCGGCTTCTGTAAAAGAAGATGATGCCAACCCAGTAATGCATAATTATATATACACACTTTTCACCCATATTCAGCGTATAATATCATCAAGTTAAAAGACTAAAGACGTCATATTTTATTTAGGGAAAAAAAAAAAAAAAAAAAAAAAAAAAAAAGGCATCATATTTTATTCACTGTCTGAAGTTAAAGGAAGAAATCGCCTTGACGTTTGGAATTAGACAAATGAGCAAGGGACAATTATTTCTATCAATATCACCACCATCAAGAAGCAACAATACAAAGTTAAAGTGCAGAAACCAATAATATGACCGCGTGGGGCCATTTACTTGTACATAGTGACATTAAAACACAGATCTTTTGCTGCATAGAAATAAACGCCTAACTCCCTGAACAACAAAACTGGCAAAGATCCAATATAATTAGTTACCAACCTACCTAAACCACACAGATCCTTTGCAAGTTATATTTGGTACAATAACTTGCAAAGCCGAGCCAGACTAAACAAAGCCAAGCCATATGTCTTCTCTCTCTCTCTCTCTCTCTCTCTCATAATAGATTTCACAGGAAAAACATAAACTTTCCTAGGGAAAAACGTCTTTCTTAAACCCATTGCAAGGTAACTACATCGGGAAGAACCCTACCAAACTACTCTTGAATTCTACTCACAAAAATATTCTCCCTCGAATCCTCCCACACCATCAACCGTCAAATAATCAATCCAGCTCTATATAAACAGTTCACAAATAAGCAGGAGTTTCAAAACACTTCGATTCACTCAACACGACGACAACCACCCACCCACATTCCACACACACTAAAGACTTGGGAAAGAGAGAGAGAGAATGGCCACTGCAGCAGCAGAGATGATGCTACGATGCACCCTTGATGGAAGCATATCAATGTATGACATGGAGATTGAGCGAAGGCCTTACCATCGCAACTGCAGCTGAGCTCTGCACAAGTCAAAAGTTGCATGCTCGAACTCTTGTCCACAAAGCAGCAGGAACATTTCATTCGCCAAGAAGAAGTCATGGAATGAATGTTCCATGTCCTTAACAGCTTCCAAATTCTCTCATCAATCCTCCTTTCTCAGCAACTCCTCATCAGTTAGGAATAAAGATGATGAAACTAAGGCTCTGTCAGGTAGATAAAACAAATTTAGATATTGCCATATAGATTGTAGAAATTCCAATAGAGATAGAATGAAAAGGTTAGGAATCAAGAAGCTATTTTGTTCATTTGTTTCTCTATTCTTATTCCTCAAGTACAGTTGCTTACATCTTCATCCTTGTAAATTCTGGTGAATTTTACGAAAGAATTCTGTTCTAGTTTCTTTGCCTATAACAATGTTGCATATGAATTCAACATATACAAATTTATGGTCAATTCCCCTTGTTCCAGATTTTACAATTTTAAGTCTTTTCATTTTCTATCGTGTCCCTTCATAAAAAATAAATTTTTTTTTGGGCTGGTAAAAGTAATTTTTAAAAAGCAAGAAATATTTCAATTGATAATTAAATTTTTTGATATGATTTGTAGATAGAGATACATACATGCATATGTTCATAAGACATCCATACACATTCATCCTACTATAGATGACAAAAGAATATAATACGTTTTCTTTTCTTTTTCTTATGTTTTCGCGTTTGATCAAAATTTACTTGTGCCACCTACTCTAGATGCTAGTTGCGTTATAAATTCGGCAATATCTTGGAATAGTAATTGTCAGGAAAAAAATGTTAGAAATATAAGCCTCTTTGAGAAACCGAATGTATTAGGCTACAAAAAATAGATAACTTAAACAAAGATAGGACATTGTTATTCATTGAGATTTAACAAGTTAGGTGATTTTAACAAGATATAATAGATAAAAGCATCTAAAATAGTATTATAGCAATAAAAATGATATGATCAAGCTATCACAACAAATTCTTAAAAACAATGTAGGAAGAACAGTCAGAGCAAATACATGCATAGTAAATATAAATTTATAATATTTGTGCAACTATATATCAATTAATCCTCTTCTTCATCTCCGACTTACATTTCCTCCTGTTATCAAAACTTTTAGATCATTTCTATTTTTGAGAATTAGACCCAAACTTTTTTTATCCCGTATATAAATTTTTATAAACATAATATTTTTTTAGTACCTTAAAGCACAACTATCAAGCAGAGAATTAGGATATAAATTTGAGGGCAACAAAATTATGCCAACAATGTCAAAAACCCATATGCTTACTCCAACCTCACTAGCACATTACATTAACAATAAGGTGTTTTTATTCAAAATATAATGTAGCTGATAATAAATACACTAGAGAAATTTTCATTGGACTTTTATTCTTTACTATTCTAATATTGTTCAAATATCCCTTGCATCACCTACTCTGCATTCTAGTTGGGACTAAATTTGTCTCATATGTTTAGGAATCAACATTAGTATACAAACATATAAAATAAAGTAACGGGGCATTACCAATTTCCAAGGAAAATTAGAAGGGTGACCTGGGTATGGAACTAGCCATTAACAAAATTATAAAGTCTTTAACAAACATAAAATAGTACTAGATATTAAAAAAACAGAGAACATGATTAAAATATGACAGCAAATCCTTGCGTTATTAACGAGAATGACAATTATACAACAAAAGAATCAATGGAAGCATTGCATTTGGTAACAGGCCTCTCTCTCTCTCTCTCTCTCTCCAAAGAAAAAGTGTGAGAGTAAACAAATTGCCTACGTGCTCACTGCATAATTATGCACATGCATAGCCATTGTTGATTCCATACTGCAGGGTAAAATGGCTCATACTTGTGCATAATTATGTAATGGCGGTGGGTCTGAAGCACTACCTGCATGCTGCAGTAAGTAAAATTAGCCTAATTCATTTTCTCAAATCTAAAGTATTACAACAGTGACAATAGATGAGCTATGGTCAAAGCAGCAAGCATATTCCTATTTAGTGAATCCCACATGTCATAATGATATTATTAATATTATAAGTATCAGAGATCAACTAGATGTATGTTGATTACATTAGTCATGACAATAATCCTCTCAATGTATAGATAACTCTTTTAGAAAGTAAAAATGACGAGCAAAAGGCAATGAAAACCAATTAAGAAGAGTAAGGATAAAAAATACTCCAGTTTAAGACACATTTATAATGTTTTAATAGTAATGCACTTGTACAGCTTTCTCAAAGGAAATTTAGTAAATTTCTTTAGTTCTTACACCACTAACCAATATATTTGAAAAAAGGAACTTTCTTAAAATAAAATAAATTGCACTGACAACATATACTAAAAGAATCTAAAATATATTTTTAAATTTAAACATTAAAACATATAATATGTTACTTACATATCAGCATCAATAAAAATATAAGCTTAGCAATACAAAGATTTTATTCTAACTGCAAAACGACATAAAAAATATCATTAAAATAAGAAGGCACTATCCAGTGCCATTTCATATATAGACTAGAAAATTGCACGATAAATTAACTAATTTTACCAAAAAAAAAACTTATAATGCAAGACCTAGACAGCAACATGAAAAAAAATAATAATAATATAGCAATAAGAAAATTTTATTCTATACTGAAAATTTGACATATAAAAAGGACCAATGAACAGAAAGTATGCACTATAGAGTGCCATTTCATAAAACTGTGCATCAAATGAGAGAGAAGCAGCTTGCTCTACAAGGTGGTAAAAATTGTGAAACCCCAATTTCTAGTTAGGTATTTGTATGTTTTTGTCTTCAACAATCTCTTGAGTAAGTGTTGCAAATTTGAAGTTTTTTACTAAGTTATTTATTCAACAAGATTTTTCTTTCTTCTTCTCTTTTTTATTTTTATTTTTTTACAATAAGTATCCATACAAGAAAATATATTTTACAATCAACTATTTCAATGAACACAAAAAGCTAGAAATGTTAGGGCAGCTCTAAGTTTAGAGTTTGCAATAAAAAGAGAATGATGCAAGAAAATGAGAAGCAGACACAAAATGCCATACACTTCGACCTACGCTACAATATTCATTGACATTCACTAATTATCCCTTTCCTCTAATTTCAAAACAGAAGTGAAAGACAGAACTACCCTAATCTTAATAAAATTACCAATTTCATCCCCAAAAGCCTTCTCTTTGTATTCTCTTCATGTGCGGCTTTATAAAAGAAAATGTTACCAAACCAGTAATGCATAATTATATATACACACTGTTCCCCCATATTCTTCAGCTCACTGTATAATATAGCATATAATATCATCAAGTTAAAAGACTTGAGACATCATATTTTATTCACCCTGTCTGAAGTGAAAGGAAGAAATCTCCTTGACATTTGGAGTTAGACAAATGAGTATGGGACAATTATTTTCTATCAATAACACCACCATCCAGAAGCAACAATAAAAAGTTGGGCACAAACCAATAACATCATAATATGTCCAGGTGGGGCCATCATAATACATAGTGACATTAAAACAAGATCCTGTGTTCCATAGAAATAAACACCCAACTCTCCGAACAATAAAATTGGGAAAGATCCATTATAATTAGTTAACCACCTACGCTACAATATTCCTTGGTGCAATTACTTGCAAAGCCAAGCCATCTCTCTCTTCTCTCTCTCTCTCTCTCTCTCTCTCTGAACAAAATAGGTTTCACAGGAAAAACAATCGTACTTTCCTAGGGAAAAACGTCTTTCTTAAAACTTTAGAAAGGTAACTACATCGGAAAGAACACTACCAGACTACTCACAAATTCTACTCCTCACAAAAATACTCTACCTCAAATCCTGCCACACTACCATCCCCAAATAATCATTCATTCTCTATATAAAAAGTTCAAAGAATATGCAGAAGTTTCAAAACACTTCAACTCACTCACCACACCGACATCCACCCACCCACATTCCACACACACTGAAGACTCAGGGAAAGAGAGAGAGAGAATGGCAACTGCAGCAGCAGAGATGATGCTACGGTGCGCCCTTGATGGAAGCATATCAATTTATGACACAGAGATCGAGCAAAGGCCTTACCATCGCAACTGCAGCTGTACTCTGCACAACTCAAAAGGTGCATGCTCCAACTCTTGTGTTCAAAGCAGGAATATTTCATTCACCAAGAAAAAGTCATAGAATGAATGTTCCATGTCCTTAGCAGCTTCCAAATTCTCTCACCAATCCTCCTTTCTCAGAAACTCCTCAGCAGTTAGGAATAAAGATGGTGAAACTGAGGCTCTGTAAGGTAGATAACACAAATTCAGACATTGTCATATAGATTGTAGAAATTCCAATAGAGATAGAATGAAAACATTAGGAATCGAGAAGCTATTTTGCTCATTTGTTTCTTTATTGTTATTCCTCAAGTGCAGTTTCTTCTTGTGAATTTTACAAAAGTATTTTGTTTTGGTTTCTTTGTCCATGACAATGTTGCATATGCATTCAACATAAACAAATTCACGGTCAATTTCCCTTGTTCCAGACTTGAAAATTTTAGTTTTTTTCTTTTTCTATCATGTCCATTTTAAAAAATTCAAACTAATTTTTTTTTTTTGGCTGGTAAAAGTAATGTTAAAAAAAGCAAGAAATATTTCAATAGCTAATAAAATTTTTGATATGGTTTGTAGATAGGGCTACATGCATTCATATGTTCACAAGACATCCATACACATTCATCCTACTATATATGATACAAGAAAAATAATAATAGTTTTTTTTTTTTTTTTTTTTTTTTTTTTTTTTAAAGTTTCTGCATTTGTTCAAAAAATACTTGTGCTCTACTCGACATGCTAGCTGCATTCTAAATCAGACAATAGCTTGGAATAGTAATTGTCAAAAAAAAAAAAAGAAAAAAAGAAAAAAAGAAATATAGGCCTCTTTAAGAAACCGTCAAAATTATCAGGCAGCCAAAAATAGAGAATTTAACCAAAGATAGGACATGTTGATTATTTTAGTCTCTAACAAGTTAGGCGATTATAACACGAAAGAATCGAAAGAAGCATTTAAATGGCAATACAAATGATATGAACAAGATACCACAACAAATTCTTAAAAACAACGTAGAAAGAAGAGTCAAGCAAAGACATGCATAGTAAATATAAATTTATAATGTTTGTTGCAACTATATACTAATTAATCCTCCCCTTCATCCCTAAATGAATTACTTTTCCTCCTCTTATCAAAACTTTCATATCACCACTTCTATTTTGAAAATTATACCCAAAGTTTTTATATCCTGTAAATAAACTTTTTTAAACATTATAGTTTTTTTAGTATTGTAAAGCACAACTGTCAAGCGGAGAATTAGGATATAAATTTGAGGGCAACCATATTGTGCCTAAAAATGTCAAAAACCCATGCTTAATCCAACCTCACTAGCACATTGCAATGACAGTAAGATGTTTTATGTACAACGATACATATATACACACACGAGAAATCTTCATTAGTAGTTTTAAGAATTTAATTATTCCTTTATTTTATATTGCAATATTGTTCAAATATCCCAGACCTACTCTGCATACAAGTTGGTCTAACTTATCAAACAAAAAAAAAAAAAAACGTTAATATATAAACATATAAAATAGAGTAACAGGTCATTACCATTCTCCAATGAACTTTGAAGGGTCACCTGGGTATTGAACAAACCATTAACAAAAATACAAAGTTTCTTAAAAATTCATAAAATAGAACAAGAAGCTATTAAAAAATAGAGATTTTGATTAAATTATGACATCAAATATTTTGAGTTATAAACGAGGATGGCAACTATAAGACAAAATAATGAATGAAAGCATTACGTGTGGCAACAGGCTCTCTCTCGAGAAATTCACCATCTACCCAAATTTTAAAAAATTAACATAATACTATCTAGATGGGGAAAGTCCATGACATGTTTAGACATGTCATAGCCGTATAGTCCCAGGACATAAATGTTCTCTAAAACAGATTTCCAATTTATTCTACTTATCCTCTCTCTAATTTCTCAATAGAGACAGAGGATTGATATACAACCATCCGCACTGACATTTCCGGTTGCACATGTTTACATGGCTCTCCTATACCAGGGCTGTGTGGCTGTCCTACAAATCAAAAGATGAAAAAAATAATAATAAAAAGAATAAAAGAGGGGGGGGGGGGGGGGGGGGGGGGGGGGGGGGAGGGGAAAGGGGGGAAAAAAGGGGAAAAGAAAAGGAATTGCTGGCATTCCCCAGTGAACCATCTTTACGTCCATTAAAATTACCAGGAAAACAAAATGTTTGCATAAGAAAATAAAGTGAAGCATTCACATTTACACCAAATGAAGACCTTGTCCAGGATAGAATGAAAAAATAAATAAATAAATAAATAAATAAATAAAATGGGAGAGAGAGAAAAAAGATCAAATCAAACTTTGTCACGTGTCCCAAATGAATCTGGAAATGAAATGCACGTTATTCAGACAATCTGAAGTGCCAAAAAGCAAATGAACTTAGATGAGTTGACATGAAAACATTTAGATGATTTGAATGGATGGATAAGATGACTCATACTTGTGCACAAGCAGCACAACCATGTAATGGAGGGTCTTAATCATTACCTGCATGCTGTAGCAAGTAAAATTAGCCTAACTCGTTCTCTATGTTCTCAAGTATTACATTCTCAAGGATTACAACAGTAACCATGGAAGATCAATGGTCAAAGCAGCCAGCATATTCCTATTTAGTGAATCCCTCAACGTATCATAATGGTATTATTGATATTATTACAATGGTATTGGTAGCTTGGAACCACTAAATGGCCCAACAATATTTTAGTTGCACTTTCCATGTGCCAACATAGATCTCAAAACAGACACAGAAAATACTGCTAATCTGCTAGCCACATTCACCATTTCTTCACTAATTTAACAGGAAATGGCTGCACAACTATCTTATTATATGTTCTCTTAAGCATCGACTAGCAATAAATTTGACAGTAATCTTTTATTTATTAATTTATTTTATTTTATTTTTGCTTGCTTTTTGGTCTAAATGCTTAAGAAAATAGAGACAATTGGAAGTGTTACTAAATGCACCATCTTAGAGTACTAAATACAAGTGTTCTGCACAAAACATCAGAAATAAGCTAGCTGTATGTTGATTTTTGAACAATGGGTCATGAAAATAAATCCTCTCAATATATATATAACACCTTTAGAAAGTAAAATTATGAGCAAAAGACAGTGAAAACCAATTAAGAAGTAAGGATGAATGAAAGTCCAGTTTGGGTCACATTTTAGAATGTTTAAATAGAAATGCACTTAAACACGGTCCACAATCTTCATATTGTATTGCCCTATTTTATACAGAATCATATTTCTATTTGGTGAACATATAACCTTGAAGCGACAAGTTATACATTACACATCAGAGAATATTAGATACAAAAGCAGGTCTACAGCATGGGACAATTAATTCTATCAATATCACCACCATCAAGAAGCAACAATATAAAGTCAAATTGAAGAACCAATAATATGTCTAGGTGGGGGAAATACTTGTATTTAGTGACACTAAAACCCAGATCCTTTGTTGCATAGAAATAATCCCAATAACAATAAAATTATTAGTCAAGCAATACAAGCTTCCTGAATGACCTACGCTACAATAACTTGCAAAGCCGAGCCAAACCAAAAAAAAAAAAAGCCAAGCCATCTCTCTCTCTCTAATAATAGGTTCCACAGGAAGGAACTGAGGCTTTCCTAGGGAAAAACGTCTTTCCTAAACTCTTAGCAAGGTACTCTCGAATTTTACTCATCACAAGATTTTCTCCCTCGAATCCTCCCACGGTACCATCCATCAAACACTGATTCCCTGCTCTATATAAACCCTTCAAGAAAAATGTCGAAGTTTCAAAGCACTTCAATTCACTCACACACACTTACACAGACTCACCCACATTCCACACACTAAAGACTCAGGAGAGAGATAGAGAGTATGTCTGTGTGTGTAAGAGAAAGAGAGATAGATAGATAGAGAGAGAGAGAGAGAGAGTCTCACTGGAGCAGCAGAGATGATGCTACGGTGCCTCTTTGATGGGAGCATATCAATGTATGACCTTGAGATTGAGCGAAAGCCTTACCAACGCAACTGCAGCTGTGCTCTGCACAAGTCAAATGGTGCATGCTTATACTATTGTCTTCAATGCAGGAACATTTCATTCACCAAAAAACAGTTATGCCATGAATGTTCCGTGTCCTTAGCAGCTTCCAAATTCTCTTATCAATCCTCTTTCAACAACTCCTCAGCAGTTACAAGTAAAGATGATGAGACTGAGGCTCAGTCAGGTAGATAACAAAAATTTAGACATTGTCATTTGGATGGTAGAAATTCCAACAGAGAGAGAATCAAAAGGTTAGGAATTGAGAAGCTATTATTTGTTTTTTTGTTTCTCCATTTTTATTCCTCTTGTGCAGTTGCTTCCATCTTCATCCTTGTAAATTCTGGTAAATTTTCAAAAGCATTTTTTTTTAGCTTCTTTGTCAGTAATAATGTTGTATATGCATTAAAAGTATACAAGTTAGTGGTAGATTCCCGTTATTCCAGATTTTGTAATATATTTATTTTTCTCAATCATATCAACTTTTGAAAATTCTAATCACATATATATATATATTTTTTGGTAAAATAAATTTTTGAAAAAGCAAAAAATTATTTTGATAGCTAATGTCAATCTTTTTATAGATCTGTAAACAGGGATACATGCATGAATCATTTTTAATGAGGAAGGCAGTTTTAACAAGAAAGAACAATTCTTAAAAGCTTCGTAGGGGAGGAAAAATGAAAGAGCAAAGACATCCAATTTGAATAAATATATATATATATGTAATATATTTAACTATATATAACTAATCCACCTCTTCAAACTGAAGTATTTTTTTTTTTTTCCCCCTTCAAACTGAAGTATTTTTCCACTTCTTATCAAGACTTTGAGAAGTAGCCCAAATATGTTACATTACATGTACAAATTTTTCTAAACATTATATTCTTTTAGTATCTTAAATCATGTCGGTCAAAGGAGAATTAGGATATGCGTTTGAGGCAACCACATTGTGCCAAGAAGGTCAAACCATGCCTAGTCCAACCTTGCTAGCACCCTACACTTGTAGAATAAAAACTGAACAACCTGTTTTTAGCCAAATTGGTTATACACACACACACACACACAAGAGAAATCATATTTTGTCACATAATTGATTTCATTATTCTTTTTTTTTAAAAAAATTTCTGGTATTGGGACTAGATCTGTTGTTAATTTGTCTTGTACATTCAAAAATCAACATTATATTAAAGCATATAAGTAGAGTAAATAAGTCATTACTGGTCTCCAAGAATGCTGTGAAGGGTGAACAGGTACAGAGCTTGCCATTAATAAATTTATATTTTATTTGAATAAACATTAAACAATTAGATAAACATGGAACCAAATCTTTGCGTTATTAACGAGGAAGGCAATAATACGACAAAAGAATCAATGGAAGAGGAGCCTCTCTCTCTCTCTCTCTCTCTCTCTCTCTCTCTCTCTCTCTAAAACCAAAAAAGTAAACATGTTTCTATGTATCCTCTGCATATCCAACTCAAATGGTCTCCTCTTGAATATTGACCACGTGCCTAGATTAAAAAATTAAACAAAATTCCATATACAAGGGGAATGTTAATCACATGTCTAAGCATGTCAAGTCACATAGTCCGGGGACTAAACTGCTCTTGAAACGGGTTTTCTCATTTTATTAATTGTTTCTTTCTCTTTTTCTCAATATGGATAGAACAACACTGCTATACGTTCATCCTCACTAACATTGCCAGTGGCACATGTTTACATGGCACTCCTATAACAAAGCTGTGTGACAGCCCTACAAATCGAAAGGAAAAAGAAAAGACAAGCATTCCTTAGTGAATTATGCTTATTCTAGTGATTACAAATTAGACAACAGGAATTAGAAAATTAGTATACCATGTAAACCAATACCAAATGAAGATATCACCTCGGATGGAATGAAAAAAAGAGAAAGAAAAGAACGACCAGTCAAACTATGCCGTGTACCTCAAAGAGATCTCGGACCAAAATGCACATTATGTAGATAATTCTAGTGCCAAAAGGAGAATGAACTTGAGTGAGTTTTAACGATACCATTCCCAGTGTTAACTGAAAGATAATTGGGACCAAAATGAAAATTATTTGGATAATTGTAATGCCAAAAGGTGTATGAACTTGGGTTGAAATGACCCCATTTCCTGTAACCAGTGTTACAAATCAGGTTGCTAGAACTTAAATCAAATCTGGCAAATCAAAGAGCCTGATATTACCAGGATAGCATTAATAAGATGGTTCATACTTTGTGCAGAACCATGTAATGGCCGGTGTGAATCATTACCTGCATGGTGCATGAAAGTGAAATTAGCCAAACTCATTATCTCAGTTCTAAAATATTATAAACAGAAACTGTGAAAGATCAATGGTAAAAGCAGCCAGCATATTCCTATTTAGTGAACCCTTCAGCGTGTTACAATGGTATTATTAATATTATTACAATGGTAGCTTGGAACCAGAAATTGGCTCATCAACATGTTAGTTTCACTTTCCAAGTGGCAATATAGGTCTCAAAACAGACAAATTACTAGCACAAAACTGCTAATCTGCCAGCCAGATTCGCCATTTCTTCACTAATTTTGCAGAAAAATGCTGCACAACTATCTTAATTTTACACTCTCTTAAGAATTTTTTTTAAAGGGAACCCTCTCTTAAGCATTGGCTAGCAAGAAATTTGACTGCGACTTTCTTTGGCTTTATTTATGCTCTCGCTTGAGATCCTATTAAATGCAACATCTTAAAATATGCTAGATAACAAGTAGTCCATCTGAAGCATCAGAGATCAGCTAGCAGTATGTTGATTTTTGAACCATGAGTCATAACAATAAATCCTCCCCATGGATAGATAAATGATTTAGAAAGTAAAAATAATAAGCAAAAGACAGTGAAATCCAATTTAGAAGAGCAAAGAAAAATAAAAAGACCAGTTCAGGGAACATTTCAGAATGTTTTAATAAAAATGAAAGACCACCCACAATCTTTATATTAGATTGCAATATATATCCAGGACATACAATCTTTATATCAAATTTCAATATATATCCAGAACCCACAATCTTTTTATCACATTGCAATACCAGAACCATGTTTCTATTTGCACATATAAAATTGAAGCAACAAATGATATATCATAGAACTTCACCGAAAGACCAAATACAAAAGCAGGCCTAGAGCTTTCTAGAAGGAAACAAGACTGTGAAAATGCAAGACTATAGAGAGAGATGATAGAGTGAGAGAGTAGATGGATGATACACAGAGAGAGAGAGAGAACATATTAGAGGCGCTGCCCTCTTCTTCATATTTCCTTAACCCTAAAACATAAAAGGGTATATATACAATACAAGAAAGGCCTTTTTAGATAATGGCCACAAACCCTATGTCTAACATAATTACAATAGAACCCCAACACAAATACAAATATACATATAAATGTTCTAACACACCCCCTCAAGCTGGAGAATATATATCATATAATCCCAGCTTGGAACAAATCGTTTTTAACCGATTATGACCAAGAGCTTTAGTAAACATATCAGCTAATTGATCTTCAGACTTCACGAATGGAGTAGAGATGTTCCCACTTAATATTTTCTCTCGAATGAAGTGACAATCAACTTCAATATGCTTGGTCCTCTCATGGAATACAAGATTAGATGCAATGTGGACAGCTGCTTGGTTATCACAAAATAATGGAATAGGAGTTTTAACTGTCAACCCAAGTTCCACTAGGAAATGTTGTAACCATGTCAACTCACTAGTGGTATGAGCCATTGCCCTGTACTCGGCTTCAACACTAGACCGAGCTACAACCGTCTGTTTCTTACTTTTCCACGTAACCAGATTTCCTCCTACAAATGTGCAATAACCCGTAGTAGATCTCCTATCTGAGGGAGATCCAGCACAGTCAACATTTGTAAAACCTGAAGCTTGCTTGAGATATCGAATAATTCGAAGAACATCATTCCAATGTGGTACTTTAGGAGCACTCATGAACTGACTTACAACACTAACTGCATATGAAATGTCAGGTCGGGTGATAGTGAGATAAATTAATTTCCCAACTAGACGTCGATATCTGCCATGGTTGTCAACTAAATCACCCTCATCAGGTAATAATTTTATATTTGGGTCCATAGGAGCATCAGCAAGGCGACTACCTAACATACCTGTTTCTTTTAATAAGTCCAACACACATTTCCTTTGACATAGACTTATACCTTCCTTGGATCTAGCAACCTCAATACCCAAGAAATATTTGAGTTTGCCTAGATCCTTAGTGTGAAACCGATTCTGCAAGAACAATTTCAACTTTGCAATGCCGTAGTATTATCATCTGTTATAACAATATCATTTACATATACCACAAGAAATATAAAGCCAGTTTTAGTATGCCGGTGAAATACCGAATGATCTATCTGGCATCTGTTAAGGCCAAAGGAAAGTGCCGCCTCGGAGAATTTTCAAAACCAAGCCCTTCGAGATTGTTTCAATCCTTACAAGGCCTTCTTAAGGCGACATACAGCATAACGAGACTCCCCCTGAGCAACAAATCCAGGTGGTTGCTCCATATAAACCTCTTCATGTAAGTCACCATGCAAGAAGGCATTTTTCACATCTAATTCGAACAACGGCCAATTACAATTGGCGGCAATGGAAATAAGGATTCAGATAGAAGAAATCTTCGCAACAGGGGAAAAAGTCTCATCATAATCAATACCATAGGTTTGGGTGTATCCCTTTGCAACAAGGCGAGCCTTCAATCGCTCAACGGACCCATCATGGAGATATTTGACAGTGTATACCCACTTACAACCAACCGGTTTGGAACCGGGAGGTAAGGGAACAAGGTCCCACGTCCCATTATGATGAAGAGCATCCATTTCATCTATCATAGCCTTGCGCCAATCTGCATTAGACAGAGCATCCTGCATAGTCTTCGGAACAACAGTTGCAGATAATGTAGATAAAAAACAAGAAAATGAGGACAATACATTATGATAGGAAACAAAGTTAGATATGGGGTGTGCAGTGACACAAGAGCGAATACCTTTACGCAACGCAATAGGAAGATCATCAGTAGCAGAAGCCTCAATAGAAGTAGACAATTGGGGGGGGGGGGGGGGGGGGGGGGGGGGGGGGGCTACTTGTGATCATCGACTATACACTTGAAGTGGCTGTGGCACTTGAGGTGGTGGTGACACTGGAAGTGGTTGTGGTGGGTCACAAGGTGATGAATGTGACACAACAAGTAACAGAAGCAACAACTCGGTATCTAAAGACAAACCATGTGAAGAAAAATAAGGAGTGTTCTCAAAAAGGTAATGTCCATGCACACAAAAGCACTACAAGTGCTAGGATCCCAACATTTATAACCCTTTTGAGTCCGAGAGTACCTAATAAAGACACACTTAATGGCACGAGGAGACAATTTATCAGTGCCAGGGCGTAATATGTGAGCAAAACACACACACCCAAAAACACGAGGCGGCGATGCAAATAACGGCCGAATAAGAAAAACAAAGGAATAAGGGCATTTCCAATTAAGAACAGAAGATGGCATACGATTAATTAAATAAAAAGCAGTTAAAACAGCATCGCCCCAAAATGCCTTTGGAATATGCATATGGATCATTAATGTCCGAGCTATTTCAATTAAATACCAATTTTTCCGTTTGGTACGCCATTTTGTTGGGAGTATAAGAACAAGAAGTTTGGTGCAAGATACCACGAGTGTCACAAATACTAGAAATAGCATCTTTGACATATTCCATAGCATTATCAGATTGTAAGGTTTTTATAACACAACCAAATTGGACCTCAATTTCTTTTAAAAATAATTGAAATATGGAAAAAAGTTCAGAACGGTCTTTCATTAAAAACAACCAAGTCATCCTTGAATAGTCATCAACAAAGGTAACAAAATAAGAAAAACCTGAGTGACTAGTGTGACGAGTAGGACACCAAATGTCCGTACGCACCAACTCAAATAAAGAAGACCGACAATTAACAATACGACGAGGGAAAGGCACTCTATGGTGCTTACCCAGCTGACAAGACTCACAATTTAAAGTAGACACCGACTCAAGGAAAGGTAATGCATACTTCAAATACCGCAACGAGGGATGACCTAACCTATAATGCCACTGGTATACAAACGTCTGGGAATGTAAAGCAACAGTGGAAGGTTTGCAATCCAAATAGTATAGGCCATTTCTGTTAATGCCCCTGTCTTCTTTGTGCTGAGGTCCTGAAAGACACAAAACGAAGGATAAAATGTGACAAAACAATTTAGTGCTTAAGTTAGTTTACTTATAGATAATAAATTAAAGGGAAATTTTGGGACCAATTGCACAGAAGATAAAGAAATGGATGGGGTTAGTTTAAGTGTTCCTTGGCCAATAATGGAACATGTTCTACCATCAGCCAGAGTAACAAAAGATGAGGAACTAGACTTCTGAAAATTAGAAAATAGAGATTCATCACCTGTGAGATGGGTAGAGGCTCCAGAGTCAATAACCCAAGGGGATGTTGAAGTCTGTAAATCGGACAAGCATGCAATATTACCTGATTGCGCAAAGTTAACCACATCAGTAGAGTTGGGATGTTCCCGGTTGACCAAGGCATCAAACTCAGCTCGTGATAGTGTCACGTTGTCACTAATAGATGCAAGTGATGGCAAGACAGAAGTCTGGCCAAGAGAGGGATGAGACCCAGCAATGTCAGAGGAAGACATTACTTGATTTGCCCATGCTGGTTTCCATGAAGAGCCCAACAGTTCTCAACAGAATGGTTAGGACCCCAATAATGACTACAGAAGCGAGTATCAGTACGTCCATGACCACGGCGACTGCGACCTCTATCACGGCCACCACCATCACGAGAACCACTCAAATTTCCTCCATACCCTCTGTTGCTACTAGGAGTATCACAGCCTCTAGAGAATTGTGGAGAGATAGGAGGAATCATCATAGCTGAATTTTCTTTCACAGTAGACTTCCCGTGTGATTGTTGTTCTGAAACCCGAAGTAATCGGGCATAAATGTTACCCAAAGATGGGAGTCTTCCATCACCAGCAAGGATTTGGTCCCGAATATTTTGAAGGCTAGGGTGCAAACCAGCAAGAAAAATGGAGACAGAAAATTCTTCACGTTGTCGCTTGAGAACCTCAAGATCAGTAGTCAAGGGATGGTACTGATTCAACTCATCTAACAAGCTTTTGAAAATGCTATAATACTCACCGATGCCTGGACCAGAGGGGTCAGATTGACGAGAATGGAATATCCT